CACTATGTTCTTGAACAAGTATGGTATGCATACCCATAAATTGTCCTGATGAGCTTGTTTGCTGAAACTAAACGTACGTGTATTACTGCGTGCCAGCCGTGATGTCATATTCCTCAAATTACGATGAGGTATGTTTTTTTTTCTAATGTTTACATCAATGATAAAAAATCTGTTGAACAGGGTTCGACCTTAACGCTGGTCCGCTAGCCAAATTCGAGTAAAAACCGTTGCGGTCTAGTGAAAGCCCTCGTCTGAGTAGTCCGGCGGTCTAGTAAAACAGTATTCTGAAATAAGTGGCAAAATAGTTGATTGTGATGCATGCCCTCTAGCTGCTGCTGGTTTTTGAACCAAATAGAATAGAACCTTTTGCAACCAAGAATTGTTCGGTCCCTGGCACCAGCCCAGCTGAAGTAATGCTGAAGTCGATGAATGCAACGGCAGTAAATCGTCTGAAACTTCTGTTCCACAACGCCTTTGCGGCGCGATCCACTTAACTGTGGGCTGTTTACTGTACTACCGCGTGTAGCCGGTACATTTCGACAATGCTGTGACTTGACGTTGGTTCTGCGTACAAGATATAAATCAGCACATGCTTTTATGCATTGCATCGTAGAGGTACACATGTAAGTCATGAATATGCATCCCACGCGTATGACATACCGAGTGTGTATGGTGTGTGTATATGCATTACGTTACTATGAATACGCAATACTGATTTTTCTGATTGGTCATTGGTAGTTGTGACACCAGTGATGTCACGGTTGTGATTTCGTGTTTGGTCCGCGTGCTACGGGTTGCACTACACCAAATACGCGCCCGTAGAAAACATTGCAAAATCAGACCGAAATAGTGTTGCCTGTTGACTCTTGGAAAGAGGTTGGCCTCTGTTTTTTTCGCTGGAAATTCAGGATTGTGGCCAGAAGATCACTTTTCGTTTCAATTTTATGGGGGTTAGCCACGAAAATTATTTTTATTCGCCTTTCCCCAAAGATACCTCCAAAATGGTAGTAAAACTATGCACTCAGTTCTGAATGTAGCCGCCTGCCACTTTTGAATGAAATACCTTGAACTTGAAATTATCAGTCCCAAATTTGCGATTTATAGAAATATTTCTGTGATCCCTCCTTATAATGGCATGTCTTACTGTAAAAACCCTGTGGGATCACCAAATATTGATGAGTTCACACGCAGAAATACAACCATTTGGTGGGATGCACCCCACGGGCACGTGCACGTAAACTGTTCATAATGATATGTTTTTTTTCAGTCTCTTGGATTGTGAATAAAACAAATTATTTTTAGCAGGTAACCACTTTGTGTGTTAATTTGCTTGAGTTGAGTTATACTCTGGAAATTCAGAATTCCCATGACCATTTATGATTACTCATCAACAATTAAACAACAGTCACCACCGAGTGCCCACTGTTATACATGATGTTGGAGCAGAAAACACTAGTGCCAAAAAAGAATGTTGAAATTTGGGGGAAGACGCGGACTAGTGAAAATGCTGGTGGACTAGTAAAAAGTCATCACTGCTGGTCTGGCTGGCAAGAGAGAAAGAAAATTAAGGGCAAACCCTGCACTGTTTAATCAGAAATTACATGCTTCCTGTAAGGATGGAGGAAGTTTGATAAATTTATTCATGGAAAAAAGGTCTGCGATATTGATTTTGGGCTTATTTTACACTATGGGTTGAAGTGTTCTTCATTGGTTTGTGCTATTGTGGATTTGGAGTCTTACTTTTTCTTCAAAAGTAATTTTCAGGAAGCAGAACAGAACAAAAGTTGATTTGGGTCAGGCATTATGCCGTAGATTATTTTCTCATCAACTCTAATATGCTGCAGTAGAACTAAAAACCAAACCAAACTTTGGTATATGTGTACATGTACATGTAGCTGTTAAAATTTATTATTGGTTTTAGCAAGTGATACCTTCATTTCAGTTGTATTTAGGCCACAGTAAATAACTGGCCAAACTGTTTGATCTATTCAGAAAATATCCCTCCAAAAGCAAGCGGCACTTTTTTGAAGCAATATACTCAGCGTGGTCATAATTTCTGGGCAATTAATCATAGTTTGTTGTTCGTGAAAAAAGTCTAAATTCCCTGGTGGTTTGTGTGTAGGAGGTGAGAGTTAATGCATGTACATTGTATATTATTCCGTCATCATTGGCTTTTCAAGCACACTCTTCATACCAGCTCCCTGGTGCCCCGGCAAACCGTACTTTATAATGTCTCGATCTTACATTTCCTTTCACTGATTGATTTCATCGGTTCCACTTTATGATTGCACAGTTCAATCAGACCGTTCTGATGTTGTGCTCGACTGCCTCTGATAAACATTCTTCCCTGAATTATAATCCAGTCCGTTCAATCTTCAGTGGCCGTACACAAAGCTCTTATGGGGGGGATGCTTGTCAGCTGTGCCTGGATGGTGGATGGATCCATATCTTATGCATTCTGGTATCGGCTGTAGGGTAACTAGATCTTTTTGTTTGTACAGCTCAAGCGCTGGTGTCCTTAATACACTTATGTTCATGTACATATGTACATGTATACTCTGAGCATGCCAGCCGTTTGCTTGAAAGCTTGAAAATTCTGCTTATACCAGTCCATGTACACCATATACGTACTGTACATGAAGGGTATGCATTGTTACCGTTACAAAGTATGATTGAGGTATAATCTGCCATCAGTAAAGGAGGATAGACAGAATGTACATGTACACACAGTAGGTAAAGTGAGAGCAGTCCATACGAGTATTGTAAATGTTAACTTGTAGACACATGTACATGTACCGCTACATGTAGGCCTACGTACTTCTATTCTGGCAGGATTTGGCTTGTTATGTTCCTCAAGTAATATTTTTGCTTAGAATGGTTCCTTAGCTAAAAATAAACCACAGTGTCAACCTGAGCCAGATATGTATGTCATGTATCAGACCACCAGTTCTTCAACAAAGTTTGGTCATTTCATGTAGCTCAATGTACTGTACATGCATGTACATGTACATGTATTTGTAAAAAGTAGGAAAAGGCTACATGTATGTATGTACGTAATGATTCTGTCAAAATTGTAGCAACGTTGTGATGTGATGGTCTGAGTTATGCCCTGTAGTGCCATCGCTTGAATTCTCACCATTTTGAAATGGATAATGTTTGAATATGAAGAATTCAGGTCATATTGTATACATTACATGGGTATTCCAAGTAGTGTGGGGCGAGTCAAGAAGCTGAAATTAAGTATGGATTGGATTCAGATGTGCTTCCCATTATCCCTGTTTTTGGCCCTGTGACATATTGACCCAAGCCATACATGCACATCCCTTGTGCAGTCCAATGTTTATTTCTTTTAAATGCAGAGAAAACTACCTGTCCCGGAGCATGTCTGCTGAGCCACTCAGGAAGTTTTGTGTAACTTTTGTTATAAACTCATTGCGAAAAAAAAGTTGAAATTTTCAAACTTGTTGTAGGTGTGGATCCAGGACTGTTTGTGGGAGGGGGCGTGTAATTATTTAGCCCCTTCAGATTTTTTTATGTTACTGGTGCATGTATATCCACTTGCTGCAGACAGGTGGATAAATACAGTACCTCACCTGTGTAACTGATATTTCATTTCTTAATTTTATTGAATAGCATCTGAAAGGTAACCTCCTCTCCCCATCTGTGCCTGTGCTGGTTGTGAATTGGTTGTTATTGTGTAAACTAGAGCTCCCCAAATGGGCATTGGGAGTTACACTTGACTTTCCTGGATATGTGAATCAAATTGGAATTTGTGTTGGTTGTTGAAATTGCAGCTTTTGTAATGTGCACTTAAAAGGACGTAAATTGCAGAGTACCGGGAAAGGTCAATTGAAATTTATAATGCCCATTTGTAAGTGAGCCGGATGTGAAGGGCTTATAACAGGATCACAGGTTGTGCTGCATACTGTTACATGTACATATCCGGGGTTGGTTGTGAAAAGCTTTGCGGAATGCAGGCAGTTGGCAGTAGCCGGGCTGGCATGGCTGTAGGCTACGACTGACAATGCCAAGTGCACTTGTGCATAAAATGAGTTGTGACCTTTCGTGCATAGAGTGTATTCTGTGCATGTGTCTGGGTTGAAGAGATCTTATCCAGGGTTGTTGGTTGACCTCTGTGCAGACATTATGAACATGTGTGTTCTCATATAGGTTTACCGACAGAGGGCCTATCAAAAGTACAGTCTGTGTTCTAAAAAAAAAATCACAAACAGAAAATAAGCAAAAACCTATTTATTAAGGAAACTTACTACAATGCATTCAATCTACTTACATGTACGTGTATGAATTTCCTTGTATGCAGTGAACCTGCCTTGATTTAAAAGTAGCAAACACTTTTTTGTACTGTACATTAAATGTCTGTTATGGAATCTTCATGCATTTATTCCTCCGTGCTTGATGCCAAGGTCGGTGATACTGTAAGTGCTCGCGAATATGGGATAGATGTACGTGCTTTTTGTTGAAGTCTTAGCCTTCTTTATAGACTGCTAACTAGCAGCAGCAGCTGTTTGAAATTTGATGTACCCGATAACAAGGCAGGTTGTAGTGGTATATTTTACTGTAGGCTTTCCCTATTTCTCAAGCTTGAAGTGTAATACTTGACATACGAAAAGACTTACATTTATGTGAATATAAACCCCGAGAATTTTTTTTGATTGTAACATCAACGATGTAGATGTCTTTTGCACAGCACTTTGAAGGTGAACATCCTTTTTATAATAAGCATTGAAGCAGCTTTTGCTTCTGAAGTGGCCTTTTTTTTTCTGAGAAGGCACTGTTAGGGAATACATTAGTTACCGGTATATTCAACTGACTTATTTTTTAATGCAAAAGAGGATGGATCACTTGGCGAGACGATGATTCCAGCTTCTGTCTCCTAAACCGTTCCCCACGCAAGGCCTCCGCTACAACTCTCTTGTGTATAAAGATTGCTACGCCAGTAGATACTTATAAATATTCACATTTGTCTGTTTGTGCCACAGATCAGCTTCAAGACGACTGGTCCCAGCCAGGGTCGCAGCGGTCGATTCAAGCGCAGATCTCGCTCCCTCTCCCAGTCATCAACAGATAGCTACAGCTCTGGATCTTACAGTGGCAGCTCCTCCGATGAAGACGATGTGTCGCCCCGGGAGAAGGTCCAGGTATTCATTTTCTTCTCATCACAGCATTGCAAATAAATATTGTATTTCCATTCCCACCAGCTGTTGGCCACTTTTCCAGTTGAAGTCAGCCGTGCTGTTTCTCTGAGAAAAGTTTCCATGTTTTTGAAAGTGCCATTTTAGCTTCGTATTTTTTTTTTGATAGCAGCAGGACTTCACTGAAATCTCTCCAGAAGTTATTAGACAGAAGCCTTTACAGAGTTTCCTTGAGTCTCAAATTCTCTCCCCCTACAGGAGGTTGAGTAATTGCTGGCTGTTCCCACCTTTGACCTGTCAACCCCCCCGTCATCTGTTGCTGTATCCCTCCAAAAAGCGCCCTTTTACGTTATTCATACACATGCACAGATTTGATCCAGCAGTTTTCACATGCAATTAAATTTGCAGCAAGTTCACACTATTTTTTCCCCAAAGTCTGTAAGATCTTAGCTCTGATTCCTTTACATTATTTAATCATTGACCAACATTCCACGAGAAAGAAATACTTTCTTGTTGGTTTTTATTTAAACACGACTCCACACCCTCCCCCAACTTATGCCGTTTTAGTTCATTTACTTGTATCTGTCTCCGTTTCTTTTTCAGTATAACTCCAAGAACTTTAAAGACTTCTGTGTTCGGAACATCAAGCAGGCTGCATTTGGGAGGAGAGAGATTGAGATAGCTGAGCAGGGTAAGCTCCTCTCACTGTTGCCTGGTGGGAGAAAGAATGGGTGGGTACATACATGCACCCCTATCCATTCCCCACAGGTGCAGAAGTTTATGCTGCCCCCCTCCCTTGGATTCTGTGTGATAATAATGATTATTAATAACTGAAAATTAATAATGCGCCGTTTCCATAAAAATGATCAACGACACAGCGATCAACAGTGCAGATGAACTATATGTAAGATCTACATGAACCTACAGGGTATAGGGTTGTTGCACTCACTTATGGGGAAAAAAAGCTGATTATCCGGTGAATAAACCATTCCAGATGAGGGCTGGTAATCCGACCTTTCGCAAATCCTCTGAAATACTCTATTAGGGGGTTTAGGATAATTGAGGGAGCTACCTGTAGAATCTATCCTCTCTTAGCTCAAATGAGACTTGATGCCCCTTGAATATTGGAAGTACAAAGAATTTGCCCCAGTTTTGTGGAAGGGTAATGAAGATTACGGATGGTTCCCGGAAGCAACTTCGGAGGGGGGGGGATTATGGTCGATTATGCATGGTCAGGATGTGTAACTCTGTACAGTTTGTCTGATCCCCCAAATGATCACTGTTCCTTGATAGCAGCAGCATGAAGGAGAAAAAAAGTGAAATCCTCAGGTTGGATGTGAACCTGGTAGCCTGGAACTCGTAGATTGACATTGTAGTATTCTGTACCCCGCAGAAATGCCAGGGCTGATGTTGCTTCGCAAGCGAGCTGAAGGAGAGAAACCCTTGAAGGGAGCTAAGATCATTGGCTGCACTCACATCACTGCCCAAGCTGCTGTAAGGACTGATATGCTGTGCAGCATTCAACAGTAATCTGGCAACCATATTGTATGGCTTGTTTGCATGTGGATCATACAGACACGTTGCACTTTTGGGGTGCGTTCGAGCGAGCTACTTGTGTTAACACGAGTATACTCCTGAGCGCTCGAGTGGCTGGAGTACAACCCGTGGGTCAGCGAGTATACTCTCACTAGAGGGGGTATACTCCTGCATTCGAGTGTAATGCACATGCATCCTAGTCGTGTTAGTAGGAGTAACTGTGCGAACACACCGTTAACAGGTTAACAGGTGTTTAGGACTTGCCAAGTGCAAGGATGGTACTGTGTTAGTATGCGAGTCATTCATGCCAACTTAGTGCACTCATGACCCAGTCACAATCAATAGCATATGGTGAATATTGACTGACATTCAAGTAATCCTGAGTGGTCGGCGAGGAGAGTATTGTATTTAGCATTGCACGGAAAGCTGCTGCAAAAAAATGCATTTAGTTGAAAGTATTGGCCATGATTTAAATTTGCCAGCTAGAAGCCTGAAAATGGTGTTTGCAATGTGCTTAGAATGTAAGTGTGCCTTGAGTTTCAAAATGTTGGAGATGTGTTTAGTGAGCATGCTGTGTCACATTAAACAAAGTGTTGATTTGGCTTGCTACAATCAACACTTTGAACTTAAGAAACATTAGATATAGTCTCTCAGATCCTTGTGAAAAATTTGCTGGAATGAGGAATGTAACATCCATGCACCGTAACTTTCCTTCACTTTTGATGTTCCTGGAAAGTAAAAGAACCAAGAATTTCCAACGTGGTTCCTGCAAAGATAATGTTTGAAGATTAAGGAAGATTTCTTGCCAAGATACCTTGAGAGTGTGGGTTAGCGGAGGTTGAATTCAATGTCATCTCTGGTTTACATTGCCAGGTGCTGATTGAAACCTTGCATGCCCTGGGAGCCAACGTGAGATGGTCTGCTTGTAACATCTACTCTACCCAGAACGAGGTGGCAGCAGCTTTGGCCGAGGCGGGCTTCCCGATCTTTGCCTGGCGCGGCGAGACGGAGGACGACTTCTGGTGGTGCATCGAGCGGTGCATACTGTCAGATGACTGGCAGCCCAACATGGTGAGTGCAAGCTGGGACGGTTGTGGGGCTTCTTGAAGGTGCATTCATGCCTACCGTGTATGGGTCATTCCTTGAGGTTGGGGCACAATTTGGGACGGTGTCCTTGTTACATAAGTAACTTTTACCACCTGTCATGACCTGTAGAGTAGGTCATTTACTCTGTAAAAATAGCACACACCTCTGTATTCAGCCTTGCAAGATGTATAATTTGGAATCCACATATAGGGAAATAGCTGTTCATTTTTGTGGAACCCACGTAACAACGGACACCGTCACAAATTGTGCCCCAACCTCATGGAATGACCCATATGCGAGTGTGAATTTATGAAGACGTTTAAAGTTATTGAGCTGCAAATTTGCAAAATGCGAATACGGGTCACCCTGACTAATTTCCCTGGGACTGCATTGTTTTCCTGTGAATGATTTAAAATGTCAAATTCACACCACAAGGATGATTTCACTCTTCATTTTCCCCGACTAAATAACATTTTTCTATCCCACAAAGCTTTTGCATGAGTAATAGAAAGAGTTGGTACATTGGGACAGCCTCGTTTCCAACACATAATTTATATTAGTGTAGCACACAGAAATTTTGTTAATTGGAATTTTTACAATACAGGATTACATCGTGAAATAGTTCAAGGCTTTCAAATCCTGTTTACCATGCTGACAACCACGAAGGAGAAGTGGTGATTGATTCCCCTTTTGCCTTGTCTGTCTCCAGATACTTGACGATGGTGGGGATGCCACCCACATGATGCTCAAGAAGTGTCCGGAGACCTTCAAGCTGATCAAGGGCATTGTGGAGGAGTCAGTGACCGGTGTACACCGCCTCTACCAGCTTTCCAAGTCCAACAAGCTCAGTGTGCCGGCCATGAACGTCAACGACTCAGTCACCAAGGTGAGTAGCTTCCTGTTCTATCTTTCATTCCCTTTCTGATGGGGCGTAGGACGGATGAAAAGGTCAGGATTTGCAAAGTGAATGTAGTAAATCTCACTGGTTTTGTTGACTGCCTGAGCTGGACCAACAGAAGGGATGTTTATCCCAAGGTCAGGAAGCAGCGAGCGAGATTGACAACGAGAGTGGAAGAAATGGGGTAACACACACTCACTGATGATTCACGGCTTATTTTATGTTGACTACTGAAACACCCTCAACACTCTTGAGTCGGCTGAAGGAAGAACGGAACACTGGCTGCGTCCTACACGTAGCCTACATGAACTGTCAGGAAGGCCTATGTGAATATCTTGGCCCACCACAATGGTGCAAATACCTGTGAGCTCTTGCTCTTTCGCGTCTCTGGCCAAGCTGATGAGAGGCTGTATCACTAGTAGACCTTTATATCCATGGGCCATCTCCCTGTTGCCGAATACCGGGTTGCCTTTTGTTCTAAGTTTTCTCACACAAATTACAAGTTCAATCCCCTTTCAGATTTTACCGAAGAACAATTTTGACAAAGAATTAAGTTACAAGGTGCGAAGGCCTGGTACTTAGTTTTTGTTGAGTGGAGGACCTCTACCACTCCCGTTGTAATTTGTACGTTGTAAACAAGTTACTTTAAAGGGGCAGTTTGAGCTCACTGGGCTTAAAGGAAACATATCATACCATAACCAAGTCTACCACATTAATAGAACGATGGAGGAAAGTAGGCAACTCTTAGTTTGCCAATCTCCTCACCAAACGAGACTGATTTTGCCAGAAAATCATCTTAGGTGCATGCTGTTTGAAACAAACGGAGTGCAAAATTGAACTGTTGTGTCTCTTTCAGAGCCTAGTTTTCACCTGTATTGATAGCAAGCCAGGAGTTTTTGTTCAAAAGTTCAAAAACCACATCAGGACAAGGATAGATTCGCTAATACATCCCAGACTGAAACAGGTTGGGAAAAATCTGACTTACCTTGACTGAGCAAGTTTCAATTTCATACCTGTGGGAGAAAAAAACACAAGCAAAAAACAAAAACATCTTATGGTGGACAGAAAGTGTAAGCAGTGGAACCCCAAAAAGGGGGCTGACGTCTGTGTCTCTTTTGATTAATTGTGTCATGTCCTCAGGTGAAGTTTGACAACCTTTACTGTTGCCGTGAGTCCATCTTGGATGCCCTGAAACGTACCACTGACATCATGTTCGGAGGCAAGCAGGTGGTTGTGATTGGCTATGGCGAGGTCGGCAAGGGATGCTGCGCTGCCCTCAAAGGGCTGGGCGCTATCGTCTACATCACCGAGATTGACCCTATCTGTGCTCTTCAGGCCTGGTATGTCAAACGATGTAGAAAATAGTCACATGCGTATAAACTTATTAGTAATACTTTTTTTGTGGGCACTGATGGCTGCGTTGTTTTCAGCAAAATTTTTTCGAAAGCAGAGCAGATGATGCAGAGGATTGTGGGTAGTTCAGCTGCTGTCGTCAGTCCACATGCATTCACCCCATATGCTCTGTGTATGTAGGAAGCACTAACTACACGTCATAAGGCAAAACAATTATCTCAGTTTGAGCTTGAAGAACAGGCATTTTGCAGATAGTTGAGAGGTTACCAGAGACTTCGGATATGGCGGTGGGTGTAACTGAAAGACCCATCTCACTTCAGTCATTGGTGAAGATGGAACAAAACGAGACCATGTCCAAAAGTTGTGGCTGGAGCAAGAGTTACCTTGTGTGCCTCTCTGAGTATAACTTTTATTGTATAGGTGTTTGGTTCACACAATTTAAGAAACTTTAACGAGGTAGTGGACCTATTGTTCTTGAATTGTGTGTAATGTTTATTGCATTTATGCTTCATCTTCCCTCGTAGCATGGATGGTTTTCGTGTTGTAAAACTAGACGAGGTGGTTCGCATTGCTGATGTCATCATCACGGCTTCTGGTAAGTGAAAAAAGAGAGTTGGACTGGCTTGGTTTCCTAGATTCTATGCTCCTTTACATTATAACATTTTAGTTACAGATAATTATCAACACTGGAAAAAAAGGCAGAAATTTGTAGATCTCCCAAGTATTTAGAAGTTTGAAAATTGTTGAGAGCTCCTTTTGTAGTTACAACAATGTATTGAACTGTGTCAGTTGTAGCACACAAAAAGAGTATGGAATTAACTTGAGCATTTTTTTCACCTTGTTGCCAACATTCTTAGTAACAACCAGATTGTCCAATTTCAAGGTTTCCAGATATGTGGAAAGCTGATACCTGCTCTGATAACTTATCTTAGGTTACTAGACCAGAAACTTTGTCAACAAAGGTCCTGTTGACAACCAAAATGCAGAGCCCATATTTAGCATGCCGAAAAAACAAGCATCCCCCCCACGTTAGATCGTTTTGGGGTTGCGGCATGCCTGAAATTCCTTGAAGATACAGAGTAAACTCGCCCCGTTTCTGTTTCCATATATTTCCATTGTCAAACACATCGTAAACATTTTTTTAATTGAAAGAAAGGGTTGGTTGACTGCTAGCAGGCACGTCTAGGTAAAAAATGTTGATTTTATTGTTTTGATTTTTTTGTGGTTTCTTGTATAGGCAATAAGAACGTGGTGACACGTCAGCACCTTGACCGAATGAAGAATGGCTGTATCGTGTGCAATATGGGACACTCCAACACCGAGATTGATGTGGTCAGTTTCCAAGCCAATTTCTCACTCCCTAAAATGTGTTGTTTTTTGGGTTAAGTTAAATACGTGCTCACCTCAGAAACTAATGTTGCTAGCAATTTTGGGTTCCCAGCTAAAAAGACTTTTGATGTATATTTATTGTGACTGGTTTTCAGCTGAATAGTGCCGAGTACAGAAGTTGTCTGAGTGGTAGGTTTCTCAGCAGCTGTTTTAAATCAGAGCATGTTAAAATGATGAGCAAGTGATTAGCGAGTTCATCCATGCTTTGAAATCAGAGATATTCATTCAAATTTATGAAGAAAAATGGTGTAACCTGCCTGATTTCTCAGACCCATCAACGCATAAAAAGTGAAGTTGTTCTCCTGTTCCATTTTTCTCCCCGGTTACCGTCGTCCGGTCTTGTAGGACAGTCTTCGTACTCCGGACTTGACATGGGAGAAGGTTCGTTCTCAGGTAGATCACATCATCTGGCCTGACGGCAAGCGCATCCTGCTACTAGCTCAGGTAAGCATCCCTCCCTTGTATCGTCAATCAAGCCAGCCAGCACCGGCTGACACAAGATGGGGGTTTATCCCACATGGCCAAGTCAAGATGTCTGACCTATGCAGTGCGAACTGGTGGTTAAGCAGCACAATTATTTACCCTCATTTGCCTTTGTAACTGCATCAAAACAAGCCATTAAGAATACAACAGCCCAGAAGCTTAAACCAACAACTTGTAGAGTTCTGTCGCAGCATTCTCTTCAAAAGTAAACTGTCTCAATATCTGTAATTCTAACCTCACAGGCATTTTTGCTAGGCGTCGTCGTCCTGAACCTAAGAAAACTTTGTTCTCTGCTAGAAGTCATTGATGTATATTTAGTACTTAAAATGTCAAAGGACATCAAGTTTGGTGCAGAGAAACAGTGGCTGGGCTGTACTTTCATCAATCCTATAAAACCTCCTCGGGTTAGGGGGTATCTTGAGAGGTTAGGGTTTAACTACTGAAACACTTTGCTGCTAGAACCCCCACTGCTCTTGTCGAAGCTTGCCTTCTGGACTGAAACTCAAAATGAAAGGACCTACCAGTGTCGATGCAAAATTTGAAATTTGAAAAATTCAATTCATTTTAAATTCAACGTGATATCCTTCCCACTTGATGCATGCTCAATGTCCTGATTTTGTAGATGTTGTTATTTTTAGGGTCGTCTGGTGAACTGGAGTTGTTCCACTGTTCCTTCCTTCGTGGTATCCATCACTGCCACTACCCAGGCATTGGCCCTGATTGAGCTGTTCAATGCCCCTCAAGGACGCTACAAGAAGGATGTCTACTTACTGCCCAAGAAACTCGGTGAGTGCTCCCATTTGTCTCTGTCCAGATAATTCATCTCATTCTGGAGATTTGCAAGTGGTACTAAGACAAGCCAGAAATTTAGAACGTCCTGCCTCATCTGAAAATCTCCAAGAATCTCAAGGAAAGGAACTTCCTGAAATGTCCATTCTGTATTGATTGTACAAGTTGCCGTTTCCACAGTTTCAAGCTGCTGTAAAATGTGGGTCAACCAAATCCTGTTGTACTTCTAAAAGTGATTTACAATGTGAACCCTGATACCTGTAATGGTAAATCAGATTGCCTTGCCAAATTTGAAGTGTTTGTAAGCTGAAACGTGCTTGGGGAGTTAGAGGAGAATGGTTTCTAACTGGCCCAGTGGAGTAGAAAGTGGGTAGGAGAAATTGAACACAACCACAGAGATGGCAGTGATCTGGATCAAACTTAACAAAACTTTGAAATTCTATTTGTGATTTCAAAATATAAATTCCCAAATGCTATTTGCCACTGCAACTTGACATGATTTAGAGTATGTTCCTTGCATAGAATGGTTCAGGTAGTCGTGTCAGCCTTGTCCATTGCCAATAGTGCATTGACACTGGCCATTTCTCACATCAACATGTCTTTAAATCACTCTCTCCAGATGAGTACGTGGCTAGCCTGCATCTACCGGCATTTGATGCTCACCTGACTGAGTTGACTGACGAACAGGCCAAGTACATCGGTCTCAACAAGGCTGGCCCCTTCAAGCCAAACTATTACAGGTCAGTGTAATGTGACAATGAGGTCGTAGGTCAGGGTCAGGTGTACCAGGTACTGATCTCAAGGCGAGGTTTGCTGTATGCTTCAGAGAACACCTCTTGTTGTTGGTACGTCAGATCTGAACCTTGGCGTTGTGTGAAAAAATACGGCCGTAGCTCAATTATCGCAAAGTTTACCTGCTTGCCCATGAAAGGAAGATGTTATCGTTGCTCACTGTGAACTTTGTGCAGGTTATTTGGCCTAGTTCAGTTTTCTAGTAGTATTAGCCTTATCGGCATTACCTTCTAAGTGAAACGTAAGAAAATAGATACAGGAACAAGACTTCAGCTTACTGCGGCTCTGCCTGATGTTAGTGGCTCAGTTAAGCCTAATAAACGCACTCAAACTTCCCATATTCAGTAGAAATTATAGGATTTAGATTGTAAAAATGTTCCAAGTATTGCAAAAGGACCAAGAAAGAAGTGTAAGGCCTAGTCCGCCTTCTTTTCCCAACATTTCCTGCAGACCTGTGATATCTTGCAGGTGCAAGCACACAGTTTATTCCTTGTTGAAAGTACTAAGCCAGCAGAGGTTTATTGATCAGATTTGACTCAAATCATCCTTAAAAAGGACTCAATCCCAACACAGATTCCTGTTTGAGTTTTAGACTGGAACTTATGCCTGAGGAAAAGTGAGATTGACAAGGCTGTAGTCTAATTGGTGATACTGACGAGCATGTGTTATCTCTCCATAGGTATTAAAAGTCTGAGATGAATCCATCGTTTTGAGGACAAGCCTGTTAAAAGACGAACGAGTAACATTGTCAACAGACTGACTACTGTAGCATCCAGGTAACAACAAAAAAAAAGAAGGAAAGAAAAGCATATAAACGGAACTGTCAGTAATTTATTAAGAAATAAAAGGAGAGAATGGATAATAATGAAAATGATTAAATAATGTGAATAATACCAAATTTGTGAAGAGGAAAAAAAGATTATATTAAGTGTAAATCTGTGTAAAGAGAAATTGGGCTTGACTTTTTGGCGAGGATTGTTTTTGTGGTAGAGCTGAAAGAGCCGCTGTTTCTTTAGAAAAACCATATTATAACTGACCTAGTTTGACTTGACTATTCTTTTCCGATGTTAAAGGAATGACTCTAAGCATGTGGCAACCGCTTTGCGCAAAGGCAAGAAGTGAGATAATGCACTTGTGCAGTTAGACACATTTTTTTTTGTGGGGGCTAGGTTCCGTGTAGTGAGGCTTTTGGATGTGTGCCAGACTTTTTTGTACATGTTGAAAACAGAAGCAATACTCTGAAGTTGACACAAACCACATCACACACAGTTTGCATCAGTTAACGCTGGTTGGTTCTAAGTATTCATTCAATATGTGGAAACTATGCTTTGAGCCAAAAATTGGCCAGGATGTTCAGGAAAGAATCTGTTAGATACAGCGTATGTGCGGTGGTTTACTCTGAAGTGGAACTGTAGGTTTTCACCTGGATAAAAGTCGTGACTTCAACCCCTTTTGCCCTAAAAGAAGTAGTCCTAAACTTACATCCACCTGCATGTTGATACAACCGATACATTTCTAAAGAAGTTTCCTCCCTGCCCAAAGCGTTCAAGAATTGTTGAATACAGTGAGTGTGTTTAGAGGTGCACAGATTTGCATGTACAAATCAAACATATTTTTAGCTAGGCGTATCCGTCTAATAGTGATTGGCTATTTACAAATGTGAAGGAAAATTGACTCCAAGCAGTAAACCCATCTTGTATTTAGCTGACTTTTCTTCTACATCAAACCTTGGTCTGATCTTCGTTAGTTCTCATAGGGCATTAATAAATAGACGTGTGTTGGCTTCATGTATGTCTGACATATTTGTTGACAGGACCGCCTATGTTTGAGTTTTAGTCAATGGGTAGGCTGGAAAAGGGGGGAAAAGTCATTTGTGAGTTGAATGAAATTGTAGTATGAGCTAAAAGAGCTAAAATGCTATGCCCAATGTCATAGCAAGTTTGGCAGTGATCCAGTTTGGTAGTTCAACTGTGCATGCTCCCAATGAAGCATGTTGTAGGTATTTGGGAAATTGAGTAAACGTGTGTGCGAGGCCAGCAGAATTGTGGCGGCTGTCTGTTGACTCCCATGCACTGAAGACATTTGAGCCGGTATGATGTCAGGAGCTTTGTTCTCAAATGATCTGACCTTCTAGACTTAACCGAACTGGCTCATTAGCAGAAAGTATGTGCCACTCATAGTGGAACTGCCCCTTCAACAGTTTAGGCTCCTTGAGTGGCATTCCTCTATTCCTGCTCCCTTGTTCCTGTGCATAGATGCTGTGTTTTTGTGCACATTCCGGTGAACTTGACAGTGAATGTTCTGTGTCATACTCGTGTTTGTGTGGTACTAAAAGGAAACTGGTCGGTATAATGCAAGTTGTGTAAACCTTGTGTTGACAAAGCAAGGCAACATTTCTCTCTACTCTCCCTGTAAAGCACCCTTTGTAGTAACATTCTGCTGACTTCCACAGTCAAGATTGCACCAACACTTACATTTATGCGGACAGCAATATCACGACATTGGGCCTAAACGATTCTAACGCAAGCATCCCTTGTCAAGATTGGGCAAAATCTCACGGAAAGATTGACACTGAGAAAGAGCATTTTCAACATTGTGTGGACATGCATGTTATTAGCATTGTCACTTCTGTGCAAGTCTGTACAAGACACATTGTCTTTTTGTAGGAACCTACTTAAACTCAAAATTTGCCCTACTGGGCAAAATCTCACCCAAATTTGACACTGAGAAAGAACATTTTCAACATTGTGAGGACATGCATGTTATTGGCATTATCACCTCTGTGCAAGTCTGTACAAGACACATTGTCTTTTTGCAGGACCTACTTAATTTGGAATTACTGAGATAAGGAATAGAATTTCAAAACCAGTTTCATACAAATAAAAAAGAAGCATGCTTTGCTTGATTACTACAAAATCAGGGAAATGAAAGTTGGCAACATGGGTCTCATTTTGAACATCTTAGCTGCACCTTCTTTTTACCTTATGTGACACTGGCATTGTAAATGAAAATTTGCAAGTAAAATGACCATTGCTTAAAAAGTATTATACCTGTATTATCCGGTACATGAACTTTGTAGACATTACCTCAGAAAAAAGTACCATTCCTGTTCAACAGCAAACGGTAATAAGATAGTCCATCACAGTGTGTGCAGTATCTCGTTCAAGTTTGTTGGTGTATTTCTGTTTTTCAGCGTAAAGTAAACCTTACTATCAAGGAAGCATTTTTTTTTTATAAAAGGTTAGAATTTGAAGACGTCTTTGACGGTCTGTTTTTGTTGTCTTCCTTGACATTATGACGTATTTCTCGTATCGTTTATATTTTGTTTGTCATTGAGCAACTGTTTATTGTTTGGTTGGACCAACAGTGATAACAATCAGGAATTCACTGTCTCATAAATGAGAAATAAGCATGTGATTCTGATTGCATCTTGTTGATAGTTAAAAGACTAAGGAAATAAAGTCACCTTCTGAATCGAGAAAAGCATAAGGTTCAGTTACTGAAGCTTCAGTAGTTTTGAAACTTTGACCTCCATAGTAATGACAGATCACAGCCCTAAGGCAAACCCCTGAATATTGCTCAAGTAGCTCTTCACTTCGATATTGTTTCTAACTTACCGTAGTTTAGTTTACTTTCCTAGCACAGTGTGGTGGTATTTGTTACAATATAATCAGTGGTCTACTTCTGATCAGTGGGAATAAAGGTGTGTTATTAAACATTGCTTCAATACCACAATCATGCTTTAACTTTAAAGCAACTTGTTCCAAAATACTCTATGTAGTACATTTTATTGAATTGTCAAAGATCACTCCTACACCTTTCTTTAAACTTGTGTTTTTCCTGTTAAAAGAGAACTAGTTGTTGTTAGGAACACTTTCTGCACCTTTATTTGAACATCCATTTTTCTTTTGTGAGGAGTCCACCACCAACCATAGTTTTAGCAGCATTTTGGTTAAAAACAAGGAATCTTTTCTTAAAAGCAATAAGGTACCCAACTCATGGTTATAAAAATTTTGAACATTTCTAAGACACAAAGCCTCTGGAGGCTTAGCATGGTAGCCATCTTGCAGGGCAGTTCTTTTGTTCCTCAGGAAAACCTCCTTTGTCTGTACCCTGTGAAACAAAAGCACTGGCCTGCAAGATGGCAGCCATGCAAACCTCTATGGAAGTTACAGAGTATTCGTTATATTAGGTTCAAAACCACTTTGGATTGAATTAAAATTAGTCAATTGTAAATGTGACAAAATCTTAATAAATCATACAGTAAACTAAGTAAAGCATTAATTGTGACAGCTTTCCTTCCAAACATTTGAACCATAGGGCCAGTTGTCCTTCCTCCATGATTAGACCAGCCTACAAGAGCAAGTCTTGCTTAGTAAGGAGAGGTTACCAGCAAGAATATTGTTTGATATCTATTACATTTCACTGGTTGTCGGTCAATCTCTACTTTTTGTTTTCTGCTGCTGCATGAAAGCTGGCAAAGCTGTAAGTGTGGCTCATCGTCCTGATTATTACCAGTGTGGTTTGGTATGGATTACTGTACAGGTTGGATGCAGACACCATGAACTGACACTTGGTGGTATTTGAGTGGGCTCCTTTTGCACAACTTGACTAAACCTTGTCATTCTGGTTGTAACAGTGCGCTTGCATTCAGTGCATTTTTGTTTTCACAGAGCGAAACTTTTTGGAGCGCCCACAGTTGAAAGGTTTGCAGATAGAGATTCTCTAAACCTTACAAGTTTTCCACTACATGTTTGCTTGGTAGGTGGTGAATACCCAAATTATTCCATGTGGTGTCAGTGTTGGCAGTGAGTATGCATTCCCTGGTGTCAGTCCGCAAAACCAAAATTGTTTATTATGCAGTGTCACAAAGTGTCCCTGCACTGTCGTTGTATTTCAGCTCATGAAAATATACATTTTGACATCTGACTTCTACCTCGCGTTGTAATGTCAAAAATGAGGTAAGCCATGATGGCCCCAGTCATTTGACCTTACTTTGTGCATCTTGATACAGTGGTTTGGGTATGGGTGGACTGGCATTCCTTTCTGGGAAAGAGAATGATGGTTTTAAAAGTGGTCTCTTTTATCCAAAACCATGGAGAGTGGTGAGGATTATCCACTCGCTGCCGGGGAACCCCATTTGGAGCACCATGGGTTTATACACAGAGCGGGGGTGCCTGAAATGGGACAAAAGAACTGGTCCGTGTAATAAAAGACAGTACTTGGAACAAAAGACCTGCTGCTGGGAATTGCAATCATTTTTTGACTTGCATTTTTCGAAGGTAATCTGGCACTGTTTTTAAACAGTATACCACTGTTTTGGGCATAGCGCGCCCGCGGATTAGCACCACAGACAAAAGTGCTCCAGGGCCCCATTGACACAGTGACACAGCCCTCCTGCATGCTAATCCAGCCGCGTTTGAAAAGACGCCACTCGCATTCACTGGGGACAAAGGAAATTATGCATTACCTCACAATTGTGGGCTCTCTTTACAGGGCGGCAGGCCTGGCTGAAATTCTCAGGAGTCAATAAATTTTGCCTGTCAACTTAGAGTAGCCACCAAATAGTCATTCGTGTGGGTGTAAATGGCCATTAAATGAAATTATGAATTTTTGAAGAATTTTGAAAACTGAAAATCTTGAAAATCTCTCGTATGTGTGCACTGCATTTTTAAAAGCACCCGGCAGCAAGTGGTTAAATGCCAACCTGGTGGGCAAATGACTGGAGAGGTTGATTTTGGGATTTTCATGGCTAGCATCACTTCACATTTCTTGTAATGATTCTACCTCTCCAGGGTGTGTGTAAAATCATATTGAAATCAGATGATCCCAGTTTGGGTTCAAGAATAAACTAGATACATGCATTTCATTTTCATTGATTTCTGTATAGAGCATTTCTGATTTTAACAACTTTTGATTGAAAATGCATGGGAAAGATCTGGGTTATATCGTTTCTGACATAGTTGATATTTAAATTTATTCACTGATTAGCTTGTCAAGAATTTTTTTGAATACTCTTTTAAATGACATTTCTGGTACTTTTTAATTTAGGTAACAGGTGAGGACTACTTGTCACTGTTCTTATTCTTGAATTCTGAAACACATGATTCAGGGCCTAAAAAGGGCAATGTGTGGACTTTGAAGTAACAGCTGTGAGGGCCGTACTTTCGGACAGTTTTGTGAAACTGTCAGAAAGTTGGTTTATTCCAAATTCTCAAAAGCATGTTTCATTAAATGATGTTAGGGAGGGGGAGTTGAGGGGGGGGTCTTACTTACCTGCAGTTGGGAAACCAAGTTGACTAACTGAAGAAAACACTTTTTGACTGACAGTTGGTAGAATAAAAAAAAAAGCGCCAGTATTCTGTCTTTACTTCTGCTGAAATGTCCTTTTGTTAGTAATCCACCTTCCTGTTTTGGGTTAAATCGGTAAAGATGACGCAGAAATACATCTAGTGTTACTAACTAAGTGACACAGAATGTTGTCCTTTGACTTATTATGCAAAAAATCAGGTGATGAGTGTCACCAAAGCATTTTCAAGTTGCCATAAATGGTTATCAATAGATCGACTAGTAAAATTTGGTTAAATAAATCTTATGCAATTTGGATATTTAACATTCTGATACTTGAAGTGTGTGCAGCACCAATATCCCGAGCCATTTCATCTCCATGTTGGTTGCTTTTACCATCTGATGATTCGGTAGATTTTAGCTTCAATTTAAATCAAGGATCCAATGGGTATTATGATTAAAAGTGGAAAATGATGGAATAGTAAGTGTGTGTGTGTGCCGTTATATCTGTGTGTTGTGTGAAACGTTCTATGGAATGACCCGTGTTTGGATTGCATTTTGGGTATTAGGAAAATCTTAGCCAAATTGGGAGGGGGGTTATTTAAGGTACCTCTAAAACAATTTTTAAGTTTTGGTGCTCACGGTTACCAAGTTTTATTCAACAAAGGAGCAGTCCCCACAAGTAGAAAGCAAGTATGTGTGTACCTTTGTGCATTTGCATACCCAGCCAAAGTGATTCATATTGCAGCATTTAAAGTCAGGGGAGTCAGGTTGGTGTAGTGGCTCTTTCCTCGCCTTCCACCTCTGCGACCTGGGTTCGAATCCCACCTAGGTCAGCATGTGGACTGGATCTTCAGTCCATGTCCGATTCCGTGGGTTTTCCCTGGAATATTTATTTATTCAGGGTTTCCCTCCCACCTTGTCGTCATTTCATTCTGTAATTGGCATTAAATGTGCTGTTGGATGAACAGATATAAGTAAATCAATGCAAAGTATATAACTGTCTATGGCTTTGGCATCCAATGTTAAACATACTCAGCTGAACAATTTCAAGGATCTAATTATACAGTTGAAAACTCACATTGGAAGTAAGATTTTTTCTGGTTGATACATGCGACTGAAACGAGTTCTAGTTTGTATTGGTAAAGTCTGATCTTGGACGACTGGTTGATTTCGACTGGTACCCAGGTGTATTTTGAGCATAACCTACCACACATGGTCACTAATATGGGCATTTCACAATGATGTACCTAAAAGAGTTTGCAAAGCATTGGCCAATCACAATGCACAAAATCTGTTGACCCAATGCACGTTTGGAAAGGGTCAAAGAATTTCGCCTGTTGTGATTGGCCAACGCATTGCAAACTCTCGGAGGTGCACTATTGTGAATCGCCCATAATGAAGTCGGCCAATTTGACTGAAACTCATGAGTTGTTACCAAGACTCTGGACTCGAATGTATGCGTGCTTGGATGGAGGGTTTGCATGGCTGCCATCTTGCAGACCAGTGCTTTTGTTCCAAAGAGTATGCACAAAGGAGGTTTCCCTGTGGAACAAAGAACTGCCCTGCAAGATGGCTACTATGCAAAGCCTCTATATGGTCTCTGACACATGGTGGGAAATTTTATAACAAGCTGGTATCTGGCATCTGCTACACTGACCAAAACACAAAGCAAAATCACATGAAATAAGCTTACGATTTCATTTCTAATTTTTTGCCTTTAATGTACTCTGCAGGGAGGTAAGACCTCCTATGTACAGATTTCTATTCACACATTCTAAAACTGTACAACATAATACATACAAGTCAATACAATCGATTAATGGTGCATCTTTCTTCTAGATGAGAAAACACAAGAACACTAATTTAACAAGTGAGGTCTTCTACCCTGAGAACATTCAAACAGAATAGAGCCAATTTAGGTTTAAATAAAGACGACAGACATTTAAATGCAATATTTCAAATTGGCAATAGCAGCAACTTACTATACAAGTTTTTGTCCTTATAATAACATGGAGCCAAGAGCAGGTTATTTGAGTGTGCCACCATCGAAAACTCCAGAAAGAAGCAATCCTATCGAGCTGGTCACAACACAGTGTCATAAAAAATAAGCAGGTACTTGTCTTGCCAGACATGTTTGATGAACTCACAGATACTATACACACACAGTGCAGGTAGAGGCTCTCAATGTTAAAAATTTTGAAATCGGCCGCATATTTGCTTTGGACGTTCCCAAAATACCCCAGATTTTTAAGTGCTCATGAAGTGCTCTCTATAGAAGCTGCAAAGAGGACACAATGTTACACTACCAATGCATCTAGCGTAGCACTGGGGGGGGTGCGCTCACTTGAATGAGCATCCAATTGTTTTACAACTTCAGTTATCTTGCACAAATGGAATTGAAACTGCCATTCCATTCTGATGATAGTCTACAGTGGGCACCGTCCACTGTGGACTATGCGACAGCCCACCAAATAAACTACAGCAAAGGTTTTGCACTCAGTTTCACTAAAAAATTCCCTTAATTTAAAAAGAAAAAAAGTCTTCACAGATAAAAATAAAGAGGTAAAAGTTCATCTTCATTCTAATGAACTGGCATGAAATACAGAAACAGGTGTCTACTCCACACAATATGTTCATGACTTCAAGAAACACATTTAAATGACCAACAACATGCGATTCAACAAGAGAGAAGTTTGCCAGTATGAAAGAGCTTTGGATCTAACACTGCTAAATGAGGAGAGACCCAAATGCTTGTACTTCGGAGATGTCACAACTACTGGTCTAAGAGGTATCAAGAGAGTATACCTCCTGTGCACGAGGACGGTATCAGTGCCATAATGGCCTCTACATCTTCTTGCCCAGTAAATAACAGATGCCGCTCTAAACTCAGGTCTACCTTGGCTGAACAACTTGACAGCTCCATATCAACAACTCAATTCTGAATTTACTCAAGAGAACAACATGTTTCTGTGTTACAAACTAAACCATGTCCCACTCCACAGCACATCTGAATTACATTAACTACTGTACAGGATGATTCCAAAAGTCTCCTGTTTTTCACAGTAAAAGCAATGAAAAGACTGCGAATCAGTACAATTTCATAATTACACATTGTGCTCAATGAATCTAGTTTTTTCTTCATACATTTCTTTTGTTTAATATCAATGCGGCTTTGAAGAAAATCTTTCATACCAGCTGCTCACTATCGACAAGACCAAAACGTGAGTTGGTGAATTATTCATGCTGTGGGATGAATAAAGTATGCGGGAGTATGGTAGCTTTTCACCAGTGGCAGCAACGCAGGGCAAGTGACAGCAGAAGGTAATGCTAAATCTGCATTTTACACAACAGGTTTTTAACCACTTTGGTTCTAAAGAATGTTCCCTTGAAAAAGGAGACAACTTGACGTTGAGTGACTTGTTAAGTTTGTCCAAGGATGGTGTTTTTGATTATTCTGAAGTACTTGAAAAATGTAGCACCAAACTTTTACAGAGCTGTGTAATAAAGTCTGTTCTCAAAGATGGCCTTGGCACCTTTCAAATCCATATCACTGTAAGACCACAGTCTTGGGGCTGTGCTGTTTAGTGATAAGGAACATCAACAAACACAATCGGCATCAACAAAGTGTTGACAACCTTGAAATGTGCTTTTAAGTTTAAGAGACACATCATCCCATTTCAAAGGCTCTCACATATCTTATAGTTTTAGAATGTTGAAGAATTCACTTCCAGAATTTTTAGTTGCAGGAAAACAATATTTTTACACAGGGTGGAAGCCATCATCTTTCTTTTCTCAATGGGTCGCATGCAAACAAGATGGCAGCCAGACTCTCTACACGGACAGACAGTACCGTCACTTGCCCACTTGGGTGATCAAAATTGCACATTAAAATATCTTTGGAAATGAATGTGATGTATTGAATGTCACATTTAGGAGCTAAAAATGCCGTTTTTTGTTGAAACTTGTTGATGTTTGTTGACACTAAATAGCATGAAACCAATCTGCTGTAACAATTGCATTCAAAAGTATTAAATACATGAACGCTTGTGTGATGTCTCAATTCGGAACTGGTTTCTTTGGAGGGGAACCAGGAGAAAGGTTGAGATCTGCTAGCGGACATTCATGGCATAATTTGGAGACTTTGTTGTGTTCACTAACCTTAGTGATCTCAAGTTCCACTGCAGATTTTAAAGACTGGTCTGGATCTTTCTTGAAAAAGCTTGTGAATCCTGACCCAATGGAAAAAAATGTATAAGTATGTATCGGTTTATGGGTGGAAAGTTGTGATTGAAAGATTTAACTTTTCAAGTACTGAGCATTAACGTTTTATTGAATTGTATAGATGATGGGTAAAACCAAAAATTGAAATTTCAAGTTTGTTATTTGGACTTGGACTTTAATCTAGGACGAGTGGACATGTAATCTGGTGCTTCATTTGTGAAATAGTGCAAAAAGTTGTAAATATTTCAACTGTAAATTCTAAACATCTGCAAAGTGAATGAATATAGAGAGACCAAGCTGGCAAACAGTCATGCAAAGAAAGTAAAGTGTGTGGACTGATGGAGCCGATCATGGCTGTTCAATAGTGACTACCTCCACGGCTTGGGTCGCCAACGGCACCGTCCCGGACTGCTGCTGTGGTTGCGGCTGCTGCTGTTGTTGGGGCTGCCCTTGCTGCTGTTGCTGCGCCTGCTGCAGCTGCCCGCTGGCCGTCACGATGCCAGACGGCACCACCACTTGCTGGATGTGTTGGCCTTGCACCACGGCTGTGGGCTGGGTCTGGACTACGGCCACGGTGTGGACGGGTAGCTGGGTGTGTACCTGGACTTGTCCGCCGTGCTGTTGCATGCTGTTCACCATACTCTGATACATGGAGGCTGGGATGACGATGCCTGGGGTAAAATAACCAACGGTAACAACAATGACTACTTCTAACCTGGGGATCTTTAATGTAGAAGCAGCCAGTTGTGGGTCAACTCTCCTTGAATTTGGCTATGGGTACGCCTGAATTCTCTACGAAAGGTTATCAGGAAGCAAAATGATGATAGATTCTTTGATTAAATTTTCCAGGGTTTTTAAAGTCTAAAATTATCCGCCCTGAGTTGAAGTGTATCCTCAAGGGCAAAAGAAAGACAGACTGGTATGAACATTTCTAACTCGGTTCTTGCATGCGTTCAATGTGCACATGAAGACCATACATCCCAGAATAAATTTGTTGTGTGTACTCAGCATCAAACGCGCATAAACTTGTGCCCTATGTGGTGAGTTCGTACCAAAGGAGTGTCAATTTCATTTAAAAACTATGCTCTCTTTTGTTCCCGCTCAGAGCGGATTGCTGGCCTCAACTTTGGGTACTAATAGACTTTGAGAGTTCTGGGAATGAGGGTTATTAAGGCCCTTACTAGTCTCTTACGTGTACGTAAGATTGGATTCTTAATACTATAAACAAGAAGTTGGACATTTTAGCAAGGGAAACTATTGTTTTTTCACCCAAAACACAAACATGATCAGAGTTCCCTTGCTTATTGAAGAGTAAAAGCAGTTGTAAAAACAATATCACTCACACACAACATGAAAAGGCCATATTTCTGATCGAGATAAAGATCTGTAGTTGACCTGCTTTTCATTAATGGTTCTGATAAAGGTAAAAACCTGCTAGGACTTGAGTGATAACACAATGACCATCTGAAATAAGAATCTTTATATGAGATTTCCCTCGCCCCCAGTGTTCTAGCTAGGACCAATTTAGTGCCGGGTAAATTTTTGGATTACGAAGCATAGTGAGTGCAGTTCTTAATGCTTTCTGATGCTTGAAATACGATCCCATTGGTACATTTAAATTTTCAGTAATATTTCAGTTCATTTTTTTGGAATATCCGTGCTGGGTGGCACAGCCAATTTCACCCCCGAGTGCCGGGCGGAAATTTGCAGTACAGGGTGGTACCGTCCGGCGCTGCCCACTGCGGCTAGAACCCTGCTCATCCACCGAAAAGAATTTTTTCAGAATGGCACAATTATCTGAATATTGAGATAGGGTATGCTAGTAAGACCTCCCGTTAAATAAGGTTGCCAAAAGAGCAAAAGATCTCCATACGTACCTTGTGTTGCTCCATCAGTGCCGACTGTGCTGATGGTTCCCATAGTCTCACCGTTACTGGCCAGCATGATGTGTGTGCCTTCGGCCAGCGTGGCTTCGGCGATGGTAGCCACGCCCTGGGCCGCGCCTTCACTGTTCATTTCCACCGACACGGGTGTGGCCTGAGGTGCCTGGGGGAGGGTGGTGGTAGTGACCACGGTGCCGGCCTGGGAGGCGGCGGCTTCGGCCAGGGTCTGGACGGCCTGAGCGGCTTGCTGCTGGGGCTGGACCGGGATGTGATGCAGCTGGACGTGTTGGATCTGACCCATCTGTTGAACCTGCTGTACCTGTTGCACTTGCTGTAACATGGACAATATCAGACAAAAATCTGTCAGTAATGGCATTAAAACTCTTTGAGAGACCTGTTAAAATGATAATATATCATTCTATATGATCATGGTAGGAACTGATTTACACCCTCTTCATGTTACAAATTGAAACAGGTCACTGCAAACAGCAGGATTCTGATTTGGGTTAAATGTCCTTTAATAGTGACAAAGAGTATAACCTCATGCCACTGTATGGCATGTGGCCCATTCCAAAATGCAAGGATTTGTGCACATTCTGATGAAAACTGCTTGTACATCTTCCTTGCAAAAAAGTGAAACACCAGGTATGCATACCTCATGGTCCCACACACACCCGCTCATGAAAGTAGATCCTAACAGTACAGTCTATATTTCATGAACACAGTTCAAAGAATACTTAGCATTTACCCTGTGTTTCCCTCCATGGAACGGTAGTAATCCTGCCAGGTAATTACAAGCAGTTTGGTCACTTTTTGTTTGCAGAAAAACACGGAAACCCAGATTCCACACATTTGAAATACTGCAACTTGACTCAAAAGGTTTGATTTTTGATTTGTACTGTCAAAAAGCGTCTGGTGCATCAGTGTACGACAGTTGTCCCCAACTTTGGATTGAGTACACGTCAGAAGGATCTATTGTGAAAATACATCATTTGCACCATTTAAATATAGTCTGAACCCTTGCATAGCGTTCTTATTGCATGTTTCTGGTCGGATGGTTTTTACAGCCCTAAATATACGTATTACACAGGCAACAGTACCAACATACTGTAACGAAGTTTGAAAACAGGATTAGGGCATTCCAACTCACATTGACATCAGTCAGTGTAGCGACGGTGTTCCCCGTGTCAACCTGTATGAGGGACACAGTGCCGTCAGGGTTATTGATGGTCTGTACGACGGCGTGGGAGGGGATAATGGTGGTCTGTGTCCGTTGGTGCTGCATCAGGTCCTTGACGTCTTTGTCTTCAGTGAATTCTGGCAGCAAATCCTCCCTCCCGTGGTGTTTGTAACAGTTCTTGACGATGGTGCGCAGGGCGTGAGTCCAAGACACCTGGGGAAGATGGGTTGCCGAGTATGCTGCAATTACGACTGGTTCTGATGACAGTATCTTTCATATCTGGAGTGACAACTGATGAGTCCAATGACCGATGCCTATTTTAATGATTTCACAACCTCTAGTTCACCTTTAGCAAAACTTAACTCTGCAAAACACACGAGAATTTTGAGTCTGCATTATTCGATTCTAGGTTTGTGACCAAAATGTTGGTGCTATAATCAATGATGCATTCAGGACACCTTGCTGGAAATTTGTTATAAAGCAAAAAACAATACCAAACTTGGCTTGTTTATTAAGTACAGTATTTTTCACGGAATGATGATATAAATGGAAGACTTTTGAGATGCTTGGTGGGAGAAAATGTACCGGTCCTTTTCTACTGTTTGCTTCATGTCTGCGCAAATGTGTGGACACTCTAAATGATGCAACCAATTGCAGACCTCAAACATCTATGGCAAGAGAATACTCCTTTATTGGTATGATACCTTCATCTATGGCAAGCGAATACTCCTTTATTGGTATGATACCTTCTTTTTCTCTTCCTCCGTACGTACGTCGCTTCGTACATTCGCCCAGGGCAGATCTGACGGCCACCAGACCGGGCGACAACTCTCCTTCCCCCAGCCAGGCTTACCCCTCCCTGTGGAATACTTCAACATGAGCGGAATGAATGCCCTGAGCTGGGCCTGCGTCATCTTGTTGACCGGGGTGGGGATGCCATCTAGCACCAACGGTGGGAGGTCATACAGGTTGGTGTTATCACCCGACTGGGCCGGTGGGGTCTGCTGCGCCAGTGCATTCTCCAGCTCGCTCATGATGACGCTCTTGCAGCTGCGGACCTGATGGCATGAGGTCAGAGTTCAAAGGTCAAGAGGGAATAATCGGTTCAAGTCATTTCAATTTCCAAACTACTAACTCTACTTGAAATTACAACCAACGTGAGAAACTTCTGCAATGTGACTGAAACTAGTTATTTTTGCCAATTTCAAATTAATCACTAAATTCATAATTTTTAATCAGTTTTAATCCAACGTAGTCAATCCAATCAAATAATGTATCTCCTACTTAGATGCATAATTCAATAGATCCTATACTTCCAGGGAGATCACTTAAGCATTTAACTTTTTGAAATTACAGTATGGGTAATGATACTGCGGTGAGATTTTGGCAAAGTCTTTTCACTCTTGTTGAAAAATTGGTGCATTCAAAATATCCCTTCCTGTTACTTTTTCAAAGTGCGTCGAGTTAAACAATAAGCATTTAAAATCAACACCAGAAAAAATGCTGAAAAGGACTTACACACACTCACTCCATGTTTGAACAATGAATTTTCTCTCAAATGCTTTTTAACTCTTGCAAAATATCTTTTGACAAAATCTACCTTGAAAAAACCAGAGTTTTCTGGCCTTTAAGAGAGACTCTGCTAGGACCTACACCCCAGGCCCTGTAATGCTTTCATTCAGATTTCAACCAGCAATTGAGATGATCTCCCTAAATGCACAAAGAAATAAAATAAGGTTTCACTGACCACGTGATCAAGAGGGTTGGCCCCAAACACTTTAAAGTTGGTTTCCTGTTTTCCTGGAGTGCAGCAGATCATTACGGCCTGCTGACCAACTCTGGTGGTGTACTCGTCAATTGTAGCTCTCAATTTTCTATTCATGAAGCAAAATTCAGAAAAAAAAAGATGTACATTTATTTGAAGACAACCAAGATCACCGAATATCCTTCACGTTCAATACAGACAATGTACTTCAAGGTGGCAAGGTTAATGTCTGTCCCACATTTAAGTTGCAAGAAATCTGAGACTGAATTGATTAGATTCTTGGCCATCAGCTCGGTGCATCAGGACAACTCAAGTGTCTCCAAATTCAGATTGAGTACATGTCAGAAGGATCTATTGCAGAAACACATCATTTGCACCAACTCTAAATTTTGCAAAGTTAAAAACCATAAAGTTCATGAGAATAATTTCCTCATATTCTCATAAATTAACACAGCAATCATTTGTAGCTTTACCTGAGCAGCCTGGTCTGTTGTCGTTTACGGATTGAAGGATTGGTTTCAAAGGAGTGAGGGCGCTTTCTTTTCTTTCCGGTTGCTATGGCGGCAGCAGCGGCAACACCAATTGGACCTGAAAGAAATTTGAACCAACATTTTTACAAGAAACGTTAGTCCTATTCTAGGTGCTAATCAAAAATTCGTAACAAGCATTGATTAAATGCTTAAAGCTCCTTCAGTTTAAACCCAAAATTACAAGCAAAAGACTCTGGAAGATCCAGCCACCATCTTAGAAAATTCTGTGATGCAAAAAGAACAAATACCATTCAGCCACCTCATCCATTTTTCAAACAACCCTGCAAGAGAAAGTGGTTTTAACTTTTACTCCGTCAACAGCATTTGTTATTTTCCCACAGTTTTGTGCTCTTTACAACTCTAAAAAAGCGAAGTTTATCAATGACAGCTACCTGCTGCGGCAAGTTGTGCTGTGACATCATCATGCATTGACGAATTCAGCAAATCAGAGTCGTCAAAAGCAGACTCCGGTGAGGAGGGCTCACTCACGTCATCCCCTATCATCATCATGATTGGTTACCAGTGGGGTGACCCTGAAGTCACTCAGGTGGTATACTAACAAAAGAAGAAAAGAAAGCAGGGGAAATGCAGTGCAAGGTCAAGCCGTTTTGTGAGAATTGAAATGAGTTACATATGCAAATCCAGACCTCAATCAAAAAAATCCCAGGAACTTTTACTCTTTAATAATCAAGGGCACTTTTCTGGTAAATGCAACAAGTTAGACATACAACCATGGTTTTGTCGGTATGACTGCATGTATGTATCCTGAACTTCTAATTCTTGAATGTAATAGGGATTCTCAGGGTCCGACATCTGGGAACTTCAGTGCATTTCTGCATATAGCGTCGAATAACATGAAGGCGAATTTTGTCCCTTCACGATGCCTAAAAAAGACCTTGGTGATGTCACAGCGACCCCAACAGTAGTGACAATTCATCACTTTACTTATGTATTTTGTGAGGAAAATCTTGGAAAAGACACAGGGCCTATGCACACTTGCAGAATGTAACCTAAGACCTGTAGTACAGGGAAGAGTGACTCTTCCCAATAATTCCCCCCCCCAAAAAAAAATTAAAAATAAAATAAAAATTGCTGCACTTGTTTAATTTTTCTTAAACTCGTTTCCATTCTTTTCAAGAATTTCCAAATGGCAGGGCAAAGAATGGCTCGCTTTTGTTCAAGGAAAGTAACAGGCTCTAGGGATTTTTACGAGAGGAAAGCAGACACAGAAGTACTAGGCCTACCACTTTACCAGCAACATTTACCTGGCATGACATTGCAAGTCACTGTTCTTTATTTCCTACAGGGGCAGGGTGACCATAAAGGAATTTTTATGAACAAAAGTAAGTTAAAATAATGAAACCCTTTTTAACTGAAAATAGGCCTAACGTTAATATATAATAGGCCTAATAAATAAAAAAAACTTAGCGGAGATGGGCATAATAATAATAGGTTAACCTAGTAGGAAAAAAAGAATTCATCCAATATTTCCCGCGGCGGCATAATCAATGGAAAATGTTGTGTGGTGATTAGTTTTTATTCCTGAGATACTGCTCCTTTTCCTCGTAGTAAAACTGAGCATTTCCACTGTATATTTGACCATGGGGATTGACGGGGGTCTAGCTGAAAAAGCCGGGCATCGGTACCCCATCGGGTGTAAGTGTCGATTCATAACAAAAACTGAAGTTTCTGGTGCATGCGTACGATTGAGCAATTTTTGCGACTGCGTAATGGCCATAGCATTTTTGCGCATGTCTACCTTGAACTGTCGAAAATTAAACGGTAACCAGAGATTATTTGCGGGACCTCAGTAGCCAAGGAATCTTTCCTTTCTAATCACCAAATGTCCACAATCTGGCTACCCAGTAATAATTCGGAGCCTATACTTTCATTCCGGTGTAATATGTAATGAAAACGTCTTGCGCTTTTCGTTTATTGTCACGGTAAAATTTGACGAGCCGACACGAACGTTCGAGGAAGGCAACGAAGAAATTGCGGCTGCGCAATGGTTAATGGTGAATGAGTGAAGGAGAATGTCTCATGCATTTTATTCACATTAACTGTTGTTCAAACGCAAAAGAGTCAGTGTCCAACAGCTCCTGTAACCCATCTTCAGCCAGAGAAAAGTAAACCCAGGAAACACGATTAAGAATATTTAAAAGCGAATTTTATAATTTCAAGTTATCTTGATCTTCCCAAAAAATGCGAAGTGCGGCTGCGCAAACGACAAAAGCTGCACAAATTTCCAAAATATGCGCCAGATTCGTAGAGGAAAATCTTTGTTCTTATTCGAAGAAGCAACATAAAACATATTAATATACCAAAATTGATTCTTTATTTATGTACCCACGCCGTACAATTTCAAAATACTCACCATAAACAGAGTAAAATCGACGTCAAATAAGGTCTTTCCAACAGAATTTAGATGCGCGGAAACGTACACATTCGGGACGGTTATGAGCACGCCACTCAATTTTTCAGAGAGGGTATACCAATAGGGGTACCGCCAATTGAGGTAGGGAGAATTCACTGAATGATCAATTCTGCTGAAGAGAGCATGACCGGGTTTATTGCACTTTCCCAAGTGGCGGCTAAATTTGAAAGTTTATGTACTGTGACCTGCACCATTATGCTGAGCTTGCGGGCATAGCAGGAGTTGCAAAAAAAAAAACATGAAAATTTTTAAATGAGGAAAGTGTGAACAAGCTGGTGTAAGGTTGCACATGCACACTCAATTTACACAGCTAGTCTGACAGTCGATCGAGTGCTAGAACGAGGATTTTCAATGGAAATACAAAGGCCGGAAACAATGAGTTCTAGCATGGTAGTCTGGCCTGGAAATCACAGATTCAATTGCACACTCGCCCTTACCATTCCATAATTTAACAGCTGGAAGTAAAACACAGTGAAACTGGAAATGTCCGTGTTTGCAAGTAACTTTAATGGTTTTTCAGTGATAACTTGTGAATGATTAAATTTGTTCTGTGCTTCAAAACATTCAATCGATTACACCGTGATTGTTTCAGAATGAAAAATGTAATACATTACATTTTAGGTGATGAAAACTGTTCTCATCAATACAAGTCTTTTGAAATTCCCTTTATGTGAAAAAGCTGATGTTTATAAGGATGTTAATAATTGTAAAAGAAAATATATTAATTTGAAATGTAGTTACATTCATGACTACAAATTCAAAGACAAGGAGTTTATTTAAATTTTGGCACTTATGAAACCACATATTAATATCCACAAAAACAACAAGTTGGAAGCCCCCCGCAGCAGCATGAAACATGGTTACATCATGATTCACTGAACCAACTTTTGATCTACATGTACAAAAACAGGATACAAGTAAATCTGCATATTATTAAGTACAGCTTTCGACAACCAGCAATGGCCATTTGTGAACCACTGGTCAAATTTTTCCACTGAGGTAACCTGTCTTAGATACCAGCCAAAACTTACCAGTGGACAACAAAGTTCCCCTTCAACTTGCACTATGAAAGCCAATTCAAACATTCTGAACAATACAATGCCTGCATTTTTTTTCAGAAATAACAATTGAAAGAGTATTTCTCCCAATTTAAAAGAATAGTTGCTATAGATACATCATTTTTTCAATAATACCATGGAGAGATAATACCACACAAAAAAGCACCAGACTGTTATCCAAATTGACTAGGCTTAGTGCACCTGTTGCTATATAGTATCATCGTAATACATGCATCACAACTATTTGCATAATTTCTCCTCACTTCAATTAAAAAAACAGTCCTAGCACCAACAGCACACAAACACACTCAAGCTTAGTAGAAGAAAAATACATGTACATTGTACATGTACTGAAAATATTTTTCAGGACACAAAAATTTATAAAATTGCTTTTCGGAAGATGTAGGCACCAATTTGCAGTTGATCCAAGCGCTCAAATACCTGACTTTTCTGGAGTAATTCTTTCCTTCAAACTCTTCTGTTATATTTTTTCATTTGAATACAAGTTGAAAAGGGCTTTACACACTACAAAAACATGGTGCATCTTACAATTAAAAACCAAAAGATGTGAAAAGTCTTTTCCCTTTTCCCTGACGAGCGCAACATTTCAATTTTCTAAGGCGGCTTTATATCATGGCCAGGTGGGAAAAAATTCCAATATTTGAACCTGAAAAGTGAAGCACAACAGAACTTCAGAAGGGTAAAGTCTGTATAACTGTTGCAGGAACTAAATGAAGATAAGTAAAACGACGTAATTATGTTTGGAATATTGATTAATGTTGTTCATGTCCCACTTGCATAAAAGTTCTTCCCCTTCAGTAAAAACCTGATGTTAGATCTGACTATACCTGAACGCTGGTATTCCCCGTAGTGTAGCATACCCTTTTATCAATTGAGTACAGGCTTTGATTAATTAACAATACACGTATAAAGACATAAATGTGTTGCCAATGTGATACACATTCACAGAATAGGGTCACCTGCACTTTCTTGTTTCAAAATACTGACCAATATTTAATACACAAATTTTAACCAACTTCCTTACATATAAAGACTTTCTTTATGTTTCTTCCAAAGATCTGTTGGTTAACCAAGGTGCATTAGAAAAAATACTGTACATATCAACGTGGACTGTATGTACATGTATGTACTGTGAACATTAGTCTCCGAAGAGATAGCCAGCGTTGCCCGCAACTGAGCAAACATTTTAGACAGGAAAAGACTCCTTCAGTGACAGTCATAAGCCTTCATCTGTGACTTTCCTCATTTCTTCTTCTTTTTCTTGCCTTTGCCTTTGCCTTTCTTCTTTCCCTTGGGGGCGTCGGGCCAGCCAAAGCCCCTCATCTCCAGGAACTCCTGAGCACCGTGGGCAATGTAGTAAGCATTGGTCATCGCAGCGGGACTCATCAGGTCGATGGGCTTCTTGGCTACTTTGCCGGGGGATGCTGATCTGGCTTTTCTTCCTTTTCTCTTGCCGCTGGGACTCTTGCTTCGGCTGCGACTCCTGCTCTGACTCCGGCGAGGGAGAGCCTTAGCGCTACGGCTATATCCCGCTTTTTTACCAGGCTGTGAGAGAAGGTGGGGGAAGAAAGATCCCGATGAGAGCAGTATTGAAAGTTATGTGTTTCAAGCTTAAACTCAGCTTAAGACCATGGTGAAGGCGTATGGCTGTGATGTGAAATTGTACACAGCTCTGTGTGAAGTGGCTACAGCCATTACCATAGACTTGTGTGTAAGTCCAAGCCACAGTCAAGTAAATCAGGCACAACCTAATGACTCAGGCTCAATTTTTTGTTTTTTATCAACAAGCGAAATATTTGCTTAGAGGAAATAGGTTACTGGCCAAAATCGATGTGGTGAATCCTACCAGTGTCTGGTTTACCACTGTATGTTAAATTGCTTAGCAAGATTTTCTGCTTACCAGCTTAATGAAATCAAGCCTTGGGCCAATTTGTTGAAGGTGGTTAAAAATAACACAAACACTTCAGAGCAAATTTTATGCATTACACTTACAAAACAGTTTGGTATTTGTTGTTTACATAGGTGAAATGATCTTTCTAATTTGGGCTTATGTGCCGGTTTTGTCCGATCAACCAAACAACGGATTTCAAAATGATGTCGTTTTATTAAGAATTCCTCACGTTACTATGTAATTTTTGCTTAGATTTTTTTAATTAATAACAGCTGAGCCACCAAGTATGATGTTCAGCTCACTGTGTAAAATTTATTGAGAAGAAATCCATTCTTTGAATGTTATTCATTAAAGAAATGGTATCTTAGAGATCTTTTCAATCACTTACCATGGCTACAGGTGTGCAGTTACTAATCAACTATATGCAATGACTCCGTCTATCACTGCACCTTTGTGGCATGACAAATAAATTTCATAGACATCATCTGTAAATACCAAAATTAAATAATACTGGTTAAAGGACATCTTTCTGGGGTAAAATGACCAGTTTAATGCAAGCAAAACTGTAATTCTTTCTAATTCCAAAAGTAAAAGTACTTTTTTTTTTAACTCTGCTGTTGCAAACCCAACAAGAATTTTGTACTGGTGAGAACCGCTCACATTTGGAAACTGGGACAAACGTGTTCTAATGCTGGCTTGCATGTTCGCATCAAAAATTGATGATTTTAAAGATTCCTGGCTTAAAATGTCATCAAAGCTTGCACTTGCAGGACCTATGAAAAGCTATGGCAAAAAAGACAAACAGTATGAATCGCAGTATTAGATGAGTCAAGCTGACGATGTTAACCTCAAGACAGAATGCCACAGAATCCACAAAGAGCCACAGAGTCTAGACCTAGATGCATTTTGATGCTAGTTAATTTCATCATTTCATGATGAGCTTACTGCACTTCAGAAAGGGTGACCATTCAACACTGGCACTCTGAACAACATTTTTAGTGGTGAAACCTTTTACTTGGTTTCGAATTTTAAAATCTCCACAAAATCAAATTCTATTGAGCATGATCGAAGCAAAATTTTGAACTGTTTCAGACGAACTGGACTTCCGCGCTTTGGCACGCACAACAGCGGTGCCATTGCAAAGTTCTTCTGTGGACATCATGACCTCCAAAAGTAAGCCTACCTTGACCAAAACTAGAAAGTTTAACTCACTATTTTTTACAGCAACTTGGTGTTAGTAAGTCACCTCGGTTTAACCATCATTCACAGGTTTGTCATCTTTAACAGATGTCTAAATGTCTCGAATGTATCGTGCATTGCACAAACCAAACGAAAAACTTCCGCAACTTAACTATCCAGACGCGAACAGCAAGCTGGCGGGGATTTCACACATAAACAATGCATTGGTAACCATAGCTGCAGACTAAGTAGGTCACGGTATGAGGGCGCTGTATGTGGGAATCGGGTTAAAAAAATTGCTCGCTGTAGAATATGCATTCGCATTTTGGCCTTTTTATGAATTTTTAATTGTTTAAGAAGTGTTGCTAGAAAATACTGTGACTGTGTGAGTAGATATAAGTTTTTGATACTAAACATATTCGCATGTATCTACTAATTACACCTCGATCTCATTATCCTGCAAACTAGATCTTTATCCGGCGGATAAAGATCTTGTTTGCAGGATAATATCCGCTAGTCTTTACAATAATAAAAAAATCGCGGAATTTTAAACCCATACACCTTTGGAAAAAAAAAGGTGACTGTTCTTTGCCGGTTGACGGCATTTCTTGTCAAGTATGTTCACAGTGAGATAGAAACGCTGAAAAATGATACCCCCCACCACCACCACAACCACTAGCATACCCGGCCCCACCAGACCATGGGTTCCTTCCTCCATGACCGGTCGACCAGACATATATCGAATCAGTACGTGGGACAGAAAGTTGAGTTCCGTCAGCACGCATGCGCACTCTGTACTAGCGCGCCTTGCCGTGCCTGCATATTCGATCACCACGTGCGCGCGCAGCGGCACACTCAGCCAGCTAGTGGCGGTAACTTTTGGGCCAAGCCTAGGCCTACTTGGAATTGTTCGTCCTTCGTTGCGTCTAGTCTGCCTTGTTAACTACCTTTCAAGCTTTTGAGTTATAAGGTAAGACCATAGAGCTCTATGGTTCTAACGCGAAACCAGAGCTAGCCATTTTTAGGGGGGGGCTTGTTTTACGGAGATATAAAGAGCCACAATCCGACCTTGGAAGAGTTGAAAACATTTCTTCCAAATATTTTGAATTTGGCCATTTATATCAGTTCTAATGTTATGACTCGAGTGAAACTGAACGTGTTTAGCTTATTGCCTGTTGAGTGTTAGCTCCTAAGGTTTATCAAGGATGTAGGAAATGGAGTGAACATCTATGATCCACTGATCATGCATGTGGCCTCAAATCAGCCTTGGAGCTTATAGATCACTAGGTACTGACAACATGATAGGAAGAATTCTTGCTATGTTACAAGTAATTATGGTCAAACCATGGAGGAATACCAAGGAGGCATTCCTCCAAAGGCATACAAAGCAAATCAGATAGGTATGTACATGTACACAACTTGGAGGGGGTGTGTGGCCATTGATTTCCAACTACATGTAGAACCAGGAGCATGACTGAGTGTTTGATTCCTTCCTGCATGGTTGGATCATAGAGAAAGAAGTTGAACACAGATGAAGGTCGTGTGTTTTAGATGGCACCTGGGACAATACCACCTACTGTGATTTGATTAAGTCCTGAGAAAATACATTTATAATTCCTGATCACTCCACTTTTGAACAACAGAAAAGTAGGGAGAGATAACCTTTCTGAAGTCCACTGAAACTTCACTGGCCACTGCATTCCTAACACATAATTAGCCTTTCCCATGTTTTCATACCTACCAGCACAAACCTGTCAAAATCAAACACAGTACTCAGTTATTTTATGTTTTAAATTAAAATTACATTTTATTTTTTATTGAGGACTTTAGAGTGTTGGCACCCTTACTTTTGAAGGGACTCAATGCCCTAATTTTGTCAGATGTATAAAGAATGTGCCAGTTGTTGGCGACACATTTGAATTTTGACTGATTCTGTAAGATGCCTTGATAGAAAAAGAGCTGTTGGTAAACGGTGAAGGTTTTAGTGATTTTTCCTGAAAAAATTGTGAGAATTATACTTATTTTGTAGTCAGCGGTAGGCAGCAAATGTATGCACTCAAAATATGGTTTCAAATGAGTATGTTTAAGAACAGCAAGTTTTAACCCTAACAGTCCTCAGTCCTCCAACAGGTGAAGGATTGAGGACTGTTAGGGTTAACGTGGGTTGAATTGGTAATATACTGTACTGTGCCAGCATGGAGCTGTCTGCCACCAGTGAGCTGAGATAAAATGTTTTATACCTCTAGGACCCAGTGAGCATGATAATGTAATGCAAAGTGCTTTGAATTTTTTAAAAGAAAAGGAGGAAAAAATATGACCCCAATTTGTTTGGATTCAGTTTATTACTTGGAGAGATGTATGAATAATTATGAGGCTGACACACGTATGTGTAATTTTTGTTTATGGTAATGTTAAATGTTCTTTCTCATACCGGTAATTGTGTCTTTGGATTTTGAGTAAAATATAGTTGTTTATGTGCAGAGTTTTCCCTCGCTCTTTTCACCTGTCCCAACCCTGCATTAGAATAAAAAAACATGTTTTATTGAATAAACATAATTGAAAGTCATATCTCTGTTTATTGTGTCCAGGATTTTCAAATTTAAGTTTTGTTTATGTTGTTAATTTGTTGTGTGGGCCAACATCCTTTTGCTTTCTCTTTGTAATCATTCCCCAGCCTGGATATTCAATGACTTGTCAACTTGGAAACCCAGGACTACTGTATTTCCTTTCATTTGTTCACTGTTTTAATTTAATTGTGTACAAAATCTAGCTAACTCTAATAAAAAATAACAGTATATTTTACAGTTATTAATTAGAAATGTAACCATTTTCCTGAGCATTACACAGTAAAAATGCTGGGCAATTTTTAGCCCAATGTTGGGTACCAGATGAATTACCCAACCGCGTTAATTCTCTTCTGATATATATGCGCAAACTTGTCTCATTTTACCCAACGGTGGTTAACAAATTTTATTTGTACTACTTTTTTTACACAGTGTTATTTTTTTAGCCCAACAGTTAAGTGATTCACCTGGCACTCAATGTTGGGCACAAAATTGCCCAGCCTTTTTACAGTGTACCTTCATCATCCAGTCTAGCTGAAGATAGGCTAAGATCTCACTCTGTGGGAAAGTGAAAACACTCCTCAGTCCTCCAACAGATGAAGGATTGAGGAGTGTTAGGGTTAAACTTGGGTTGTTGAATAGTATAGAACATGTATACATTGTAGGCCTACATGTAGCAGGGCAGCGTTAGACCACAAATCTGTTGTTTTGTATTTTGTGGTGTTTTCCAAAAAAAAATATGTTTCACCATAATTTGTTTGCAAGTTAAATCTTATAGCCTGAATTATTTTAATGGGACCATATGAGGATTTATTCTTCGACAAGTATCTTATGAATTCATTCATTCCTCTTAAATGTATCCAAAGTATTTTGGTTTCACTTTCTGGTTAAAGGTATTGGAAAGTACCCTTTAAAAAAGTCCACATTGAAGGTACTATGACTGCTACTCTACTCTAGCTGGGAAGACTCCTGTTCAGTTCACCAGTTACTGGCAGATCTAAGGGACTTACCCTTGTTGACTTAAATCAAACAGACATGACAAGCAGAGTTGTAAGGACTTGAGTCAATGACTTGACTCGAATCCAACACAAGTCACAATTTCGGTGACTTGACTCAAGTGCCAATTGTTAAATGACTTGACTCAAGTCACTACCTGCAAGTGACTTGAGTCCGTCATCAGAAGATCTGACTCAAGTGACAGTTAACAAGACTTGAGTCCCAAAAATAAAAGCAAAACTTCTTTGCAGAAAAATTTGTAATGACTCTTAGTGTCAGTTTATAATGCTCATGTTGATTATCATGAAGAGGAAGCGGTAGTGTAACTATGTATAGAAACCCAAAGGTAATTTATAAAATGCCAAAAGCACTTTCTTGTTTTTATTAGAGGTGTGGGAATTCAGCTTTTTTGTTTAGATGTTGACCCTGATTTTCAGCTTTTTTGTACACCTGGTCTGTAAAAAGGGGAAATTTTTACATTTCAGCTGTTGATTAGCTGTTTTCAGCTTTTATTTTAAGTGGCCACTCACAACCCTGTGTTGTTCATCCTATTTGTGTTCAAATATTTGGGATTCGAATTAAGTGGAACTAATATATATTTTTGACTTTTTGGCCTGATAACTCAATTGATTCAAATCACTGTTATAATGATTCAACTAGACTTGAATCACAAAATTTAGTGACTCGTTACAAATCTCATGATAAGCAGATGTGGAGGCACTCACAAAGAAGTTAGCAGAAGTATTTTTGCTGATTTATTATAGTTTTCTGAAAATGTCATGGATTTTGTCTTGTTTCCCTTATGTGTTGCTAAGGGATTTCAACAGCATTGTCTCACAAATCAGCACCATGGCCGATGTTCTTTCCGATTATGAGCAGGCCAATGGAAAAGTCAGGGAGTATGAGCGGATCTTGTGGAATATCACCCACCAAGGAGTCAAGCTTGGGGAAATCATGGGTGAAGAAATAACTGGCCGAAAAAGTGTCCGACAGCTCCTTGGCAACCTCGGGATGTTGGCACAGCAGAGAGCCTTCTGCTGTGGGGGCTGGATAGAGTTGAGTTCAGCTGATGCTCACTGCAGACTGAAGATGAAAGAGGATGCCACCAACCAACTTGGATGGAAGATCACCGAGCTCCCTGTTGATGGCCTCCTGGAGTTCTGTGTGCCATCTCCCTATGGAGATCTCAGGAAGCAGGAGACGGTGTACAATCCAAGTGTCCGCCTGGCTTCTGAGTGTGAAGCTAGTAAGTTCTACTTTGCTAGGAAGCTGCATCATCAGAAGCCTAAGCCTGGTGACAAAAGGAAGAAAGTTCCGTCTCCTCCCGGTCTTGTTGACTATGGCCCCAAGTTTCTGGACGTCGTCAGGAAGAAGGTGAGTGATACCATGGCAAATGGGGCCAGTGTTATCCTTGAGTGCTATAAGCTGAACGTGTATATAGCAAGGGTGGCTTCTTCAATGCACAAGTTGATACCCCAGTCGATGCGGCTCGGATGATTGGAACTGTAGTTATTTGCCTACCTTGCAAGCACACTGAAAGAACATTGACTGTTGAACATAAAGGGGTGAAGGAAAAGTTTCTGTTTGCCAACCTGTCCAATGATCAGTCAAAGATTCAGTGGGCAGCCTTCTACTCCGACTGTGTCCATGAAATTGTGCCAGTCGAAGAGGGCAGTCGCATTACGATCACCTACAATGTGCTCAAGCAAGAGGAAGATTCTTACATCTGTGAATACGGACTTTGCCAAAGGCAGAGTTTCTCTACAGGCCCCATGGTTGCAGCTGACAACAAGTCAACTCTGGACAACATTGTCTCTGATGTGAGTAACATCAGCGCTAAGGTTAAGCGAGCCTCCTACGAGCATTTGGGCATATTCCTTCAGCACAGATACACCATGGCAGCTCTTGCAGCCGGTAACCTCAAGGGTTGCGATCAGGTCCTTTATGAGGGTCTCCAAGCCAGGGGATTGCCCTGCCACCCCCTGACAGTTCTTGTCCACCAAATCGAGAACCCTGATGAGGAGGACTGCTTTGAGGAAACACGAGATGTGTTCTTGCTCAGCCAAGAGGTCATGGACTACGTGAAAAAGAATGGTCCACGGCCCAGTCTCCCCTTCCCCGGCCAAGCACTGTTCATCAGAGAGTGGACAGAGGAAACCTTCCTCATCAGTGAGGAAACCACTGAAGCCGAGTACTGTGGCAACTGCACAGAGGGAGGTGAGACGGAAAGTCTGTATCTGCAGTCTGCACTGGTCATTGGCACTCCTGAACAGGGAAAGGCCAAAGGTGGTCCCTCAAAGAAAAATTAAGGTCTTTAAACGAAGGTTCTTCATAGTCAGATTTCATCAAGAAATGGTGATTGTTTGTCCTGCTGTATTGTGTCAATTTTTTTGGTTATTTTCCTATATCGGTACAATAATAAACGTGATTCACTTTGTGACAGGGCATCTGTTTTTTTAATAACTGTAGAAAACACATATCTTAGCATCTAAAATTTATACAGTTCTCAGCAACCTGTGCATGTATTTTATTTAAAGAAGTGGTCAAAGTTTTAAGACAGCTTGATGTGACGTTCAAACAGGAAAGTGCATGCATATAAGAATTTACAATTAAAACTTGCTTGCCCTATGGAACTGGTATTTAAATGACTTGGTTGCCTCATTAAAGAAAGGTTTATGTGAGGAGCATGTTCCAGTTTTATACAGATATATGTATGATGCATGTTTTATGTATGTAGGCTAGTGACAAAAGTCAGGGATCCTTTCAATATCTTGATTACACATTATTTATAATTTTGGTTAAACTTCAATTGCTATTTTTGCTTGTAAGAACCAATCTCAGTTTTGTCCCATTAATTACTTGTTCTAGGATATTAATGAGGTTTATTCTGTCAATGCTTTCAACAAGATTCAGGACACAATTCAAATGTCAAAATGTTGAGAACTGTGCTAATCACACAAAAATTCAAAAAGATCCTCAATTAATCAATTCATAACGCAAGAGAAAAAATTGTCTCTATAAGCACATACATGTAATTCACCAAGGTGATACGCTTAAACCAACTACTTCATCTTTTCTGAAGGATCTAAGTGATAGAACAAATGATCAAAATACTCTCTTAATTAAAGTGGTTTTATCATTTAAAAAAAGGACCTCGGGCCACTATTGCAGAACGAATGTAGAGTTTGTTTCCCAAAGCCAAAAATTCCTGTGTTTGTAACTTCAAGAACCGTATGTTAGAAATAAAGTTCCCAGTTTCTTATGCATTCCTTTTTCCCTTAGATAGCTTGCCAGTCACAATTTTCCAGTTGCAAAGAAGTATTCATGTTGAGTAGTTTCAGTACTTTAGATTTTAGTGCATTGCTTTTATGTGTATGAGCATCTATATGAAAGCCGAAGTGTCATAGAATTACCTGTTAACTTAAACAATTGTATTGCTCCAAAACTAAGATAAAGCTTGACTTCTTAAACATATAACAGTTTTACTTCATCAAATGTGCCATGGTATTATAAACTTGAGAACTTTTGGTCAAAATAAGTGCATTACTACTACCATCATCTGTAAGAATTTGGTACACAACTAATTTTGAGAGGTGAAAGATTTTACTGACTTAGTACCTACATGTATATCAAGAGTTATTCTTTTAATGCTTCCTGCGATCCAAGTTTTGCTTATTAGCACCTGTTTCAGTTTAAATCCCACAGATTATTACATGCCACATAATTGGTTTATGTAGTCAGAGTTCCTTGCTTATTAAGCATTTGAGTCTTACCTGGTACTTGTGCCGTATGTTGAATTAAAAAATATTTTCAGAAAGTACACATAGTTTGTATGTAAACTCGTTATTAAGCATGTTAACCTTTCTCACCTTTTCAGACTTTTATTTTCTGTAGTTTAGAAACAAAGTTCAACTCATAATCCTGTGTATGCCATAGTAAATTTTGGTAATCGTTGGTGTGAAGAGAAATGCATGTGTGTAATACACATATAGCTTTGGGGATTTGAGTCGAAGTAACTCAAATTCTAAATAAAGTCATAAATAGTGTTAGCAAAGGTGAAAAAGAAAATGTTTTGATTTCACGTGAGTTAATACCGACATGTAATCAGTATTCATGCATGAGTGAAGGGTTTAATGCATGGTCAATCTTGAGCTAAATATCATGAAGAAAAACCAGTCAAGCACGTTTTTCAGGGATAGAATATACTAAATGACAGTAACATCTCTAAGTTAAGGACCACTTTTTTCTTAACGTAATGTTTTTTCCAAGCGATGAGTGGGGTCCAGTTCCATTAGTTATTGTTTGTCTACATGGTAAAGTTGATTACTGTGCGTTTGTATTGGGGCATTTTCAGCAGAAAAATATCTCGTATAAAAGAAAGTATACACAAAATAAAAAATGGTCCTTAACTTTTTTTGAGTAGTGTACATTGCCAGAGCAGATTACACTGCTGGCCATTTAACTGGCAGGTGGAAATTTTGAAAAGGAAGGCACAGAAAATGTATAACATTTTTTCAGATCAACTGATGTCCACTTTTTTCTCAATACCTCTTTGGTACAACAAATCAAATAAAAAAATTCTCCACAGACAGGTGTTTGAAAAATGTTTTAAAATGTAATTTGTGACTTTCTTACTTCAGCAAGCAGTCAACATAGACACATATGCATATACATGTATACATTATAAGAGTTCTGGATAAAAGCTTTTACTTTAAATGAAAAGTTAATGCCTCAATCGTCTCAGTGCTTGCGGTTTCATATAAGTAATATGTCTTGATTCCTGTTAGAATTTGAACTTGAAACTACACAGGAGGTAAAAAGAAAAGGAAATGCAGTGCATCCGATAAAACATTTTCTTTTATCTAAATAAAAATTGAAGCCTCAATCGTCTCATTTCTTGTTTTCATATTAATATCAATAAAATGACTTGATTCCCATGAGAATTTGAACTCGAAGGGAAAGAAAATGAAATACCCCAAAATTGCAACGCAACGATTGAATTTTGAACAGAGGTCATTGCCATATACACAGTTGTAAGATTTTTTTAAATCAAGGTAAACCTGTCAATTACTGACCGCAAAGGAGCTGACAGTGTTATTTTTGGCTTCTGCAAATTTCCTTGTAAGATTACGTAATTTCAACAATAAAGTAAAATCACTGCTTCGCTCAATCTGTTTTTAAATCATAGAGCCATAGAGGGCGCTGTGCAATATCCCTATCACCAGTGACAGGTCCAGCGGAATGTTTTGTTGCCCGATATCGCGTTCGGCCCTGTGCTTCGTCTTCTACCTTCAGCGAAAACAACCCGTTTTTGATCGGCAGCAAAGCTGGACAAAAGCCGGTTCACCTGTAAGACGGAGCTCACTTATTTTCCTGTTTCTCTCTGTGGCGTTTGCAGCTCGAAACAGTCAGGATGGGTAAGTTGCAGCGATGTTTTTGGGGTTGTTTATTCCTTTGTGATTTCAGTTTTTTCGGCGAGGTAGCTTGGAGCGTGCGGAGAATCGGGGATATGGCGAAGGGGCTGGATGTTTTTCCTTGCGCCGCGCGTCACCGCCATGAGTTCTGTCTCGATCCTGCCGAAACTCCGGCATTTCCTCGGCCTTTTGCCACCCTTTCCCACCGCCAAGGAGCGTCCCAGGCACTTCTTCGGGGCCTCGGTGGGATTGCGGTAACGATAGGGAAACACGTGGGAAGAGTTCCGAGGATAAAGAACAACATTAGATCGCTCAAAATAAGAAGAGAAATAGGCTTTCTTTGTGTTCCTTTGTTTGAGCACAGGGCGCCATGCCTGATGCGAAAACGCCATAGACACTACACACAACGCTATATGACTCATGACAGCTGCCCATTGACCAATCAGCGTGGTCCCTTTCCGCTATATGTATATGTACAAAGGGCTAGTGCCTTTTTTTTTTAACAAGCACAATGCTATGGGCCGATCGAGTTTTGTGCTGCAGAGATTGAAATAAAAACGTCATTTCAAAATAGGTTAATTGAAGAGAAATGTCTTTTGTTTTAAAAATGCGATGAGGATTGAAGGAATATTTATCAGTCTATTGAAGACAATATTCTTGAAGTAATTTTTGGCTCGTGTTTTTTCAGTCTTTCGACCATTTGTGTGCATCATTGCTTATTGGGGGAAATGTACTTAAATTTTGCAATTCATTAATTATTGATCATTTTTATGTGTACAATTGTGCACATAGTAATTTTTTAAGTCGTATGCGTTTTGGGAAAAAGAGAAAAAATTTGTTTTCGAAATTTTTTCATGGCCGGTTGATACTGTAAATTTCATAATTTGTTCTCCTGTACCGGATACCCTGCAAGTTCAGTGAAATTGTTTGTGGTTATTTTCATAGCACTTTCGAAAGAAATTATACATTAATTGAACTTTGATTTAGAGGCTGTGCGTGTGCATTTAGCTAGTTAAACAGACACCTCGCTGCTACACGTTTTATTGTTAATTAACATATTGCTGTAGATGCTCCTGAGCTCTGCTCGTAAAATGCAGCCTGTTTAGTGTAATTTTACATTGAAATGTTATAGGAAAATATTTCTTGTGTAAACTTGCAAAGTAAGAATCTGGATGCTTGTACAAGTTTAAATATTTTGTTTGATTACATTTTGGGATTTTTATTTTAATCGATTTTAAACATGAATTTGATGCCACAAATTCTTCAAATTTGCTGTACTTTTTTTAATGAAAATTCCGCCGATGTCACAAATTTGCACGATGTTTGCATTTGTGCAAATGTGAACTGGATTTAAAGCAGGGCAGTGCGTTAGCCTACCAAGTTGGTATGAAGTCCTCACTGGATGGTTGTGCAGAAGTTTTGAATTATTTCATTGGCCTGCCCAAACCCTTTAAAATCTGGCCGAAGGTTTTGAAGATTTACGGGGCTGGAGAAGTTACAGCCCAAACATTTTGCATACGTTTGATGGCCCATACATGAGTAAATGTTCAAGCATAAAGTATATATAGCATCCAGAGGAAACAAGAGAAGTTGCTGTTGATCACATGTTCTGTAAAAAAAAAAATTGCACTTGTACATGTATGCATGACCAACGCGTTTGTCTTTTGAACTGAAACGCTTGAAAACATATCAAAGAATTGAAGATTTATGATCCGATAAGGAAATAGAAGAATCCAGAAGTTTTCAGTTAACGGATAAACTCATACATGAACATGTATGTGTGGTCAGAAATGCAACTTTTAAGTGTTTTCTCTCTAAGGACTGGACGTTTCTACGTTCAAACAAAACAAAGTTTTGATTGACTCAGTCTAGCATTCACTTTTATTGCAACTGATGACTGTAATCTGATTTGCAAAACGCATCCATGTACTTTTTGTGTGCATGTGGATTGTTTAACTAAATAATTATATGAAATCACCAAAGTAGGCATTGGCAGCCTCTGTCAAGTGTTAGCTAAATGTTTAGATATTTAAATGGTAAGGGAAAGTTTTCCAAACCTTTTAGCAAATTACATGTAACTTCCCACCCTAACTCTAATTGAAAGAATTGTGGTCCTCTCTGTCACTAAATTTCACACAGTACAATTTACTATGTGTATGATGCACAAGTTGATTACAAACTGTAATAGTGACTAAAAGGGAATGTTTTCATTATTCAAGACTTTTCACCAGCCACAATTTTTGATTGAAAACTCAATGTATTTTCAAATCCTGTATCATTTGCAGGATTTTTTTTCACTTGGGATCGCGAAGTATTAAAATCTTTTTATTTCAGTCGTCACATTTGACCCAGTGTCATACGTTGTTCAGGTTATTTTACAATGTTTCAATAGAGTTAGAAAATCTAGAATATATGATAAATGGCATTCTGGGTTGGTAAATTGTAAGAGTGCGAACAAGGTTTTCGGCCAAATGACAGGTTGCCCATCAGGACTTGAAATTGATGAATCTTTCTTTGGCTGACCAAAACACTAAAACATGCCAGATACAGATTGTAAAAACATTCTCAAAATTTATACCTCCAACACAGATCAAACTGGTCTTGCACTCAGAAAATAAATTGACGATGCACAATTTTTTGTTTATTGTGCTATGTATTCCAGTCATCTAGTTGGATTCTGTGATACAGAAGTTATCATTTAGATGGAGTTTCTGAAAATTCTTTGAATCTTCAGCACCCAGCAAACCTGGATACTGGGTGATAAGGACTACACATTAGGCAGATTTAATGTGTGGCAATCGCAAACAGGGCCACAGTGAACCAGTGAATGAATATATAGGGGGGGTCAAACATAACTGGCAGGCTGAGGCACTGTGAAGTCTTTGTTCTGAATGTCACCGGGGTCATGACCACAGTCTTGCTCAAAGTCTAACCAGCTGAAGGGACACAGGGCTCTATTCAGGTCCCATTTTTTGTTTCCTTTTGTGTAATAAACACAAATCGGCATGAGTGCGTTGTTGGCTGCTGAGTATTGTTATTGTCAGAGGGGGTTTGTCTGTGTTTGTTGTGCTTCACTGCCATTGAGGGTACCTGTTACAGTTCCCTGGTTTGAAAACATTTGGGGTGAACCCCAGTCACAGCAGTCAATAATTGAAAAAAAAAATGCCCTCCCCCCTTTTTTAGACTTGACAATTGCCCTCATCTGGGGGTAGATGCACAGTAAACTTTCAAATTACTACAGGAGTTATGTATGACAGAGCTGAGGAAATGGATGCTGTGTTCTAGGACTATTGGTTCAGTAAATCTCTGATTCTTCGTAAGAATCATGGAGAATTACAAAATAAAGTCCCTATAAGAAACCATATTCCCAAGCATTAATGTCCCTTTTACATAGTTTGATGTATTAGGCTGGGTTGACATGGTCATGGGTGATTTGTGTGGAATTGTGATGTGGTAGTTTTGTAGGAGTTTTGTTAGTCCAGTGAACCAGCTTTGTCATGAGACTTGAGCCAACCCTTGTCCCCTCTCCCTGCTAAAAGAGTTTGTGAATATCCCAGCTTTAAATCATTACCGTACTAGCTAGTCTTCAAAGCATTCACAAATTTACCAGGGTACATGTACAGTGTTGGTTCCATACATCATGTATGATTATGAAAGATGCAGCCATTGCAAAGTTTAACCCCCTCGGCCTTTTTACTAGGAACCATCCTGAATCCTCTGAAATCCTCCGAATTTTCAACATGAAAAAATTGCATTCAGCCCAAATTCTCCAAAATTTATTGAAAATGTCATTTGGAGGTGTGCCTAACTGTCCAAATCCTTCAAAATCCTCCGTCAATTCCTGTCATATTGAGGCAGTGTGAATGGCACTCTTGAGCTGTGCATTTGATTCAAAAGAAATGTCGGGGCTGTAAGACTAAGCACAATAACAGAAGATCTAATCCACGACCTTCACGTATGGCATCCTTCAAAATCAGCCATGCAATTTTGCCGTACACCCTGCATCCTCCAAATTCCTCCACTTTACAGAAAAGGAGTTTGGAGGATTTGGGAGGGTTAGGGTTAAGTAAGGTTTGCCATTTTAGTTGCTTTAATAGAAAACTTCTTAGCCTCTGTCAACCGAGAACTGTCAGGCTAGATTTTATCAGAATTGTTTAAAAAAAATGAGTGCATTGAGACTTCAATTAAAGGATTCATCACGTGGATGACCATGCATGACACCAAGGGATAAATTTTCTGACAGTGCATGAATGAGATAACAGCAAGAAATTCAATGGGAACCAAAGTTATGACACCTGAAGCTTTAATTCCTGAAGTCTTCATTCTTGGGCACAGTTGTTGTAAACAACATGCCCTAAACTGTGCATATAAACAGTTGGACTATGTTTATTGGTGGCCAGGTGGTAGGCCTAATCCCATGTAAAACACAGTGTGTTAAGTTTCGTACTCGTTCTCACAGATTTCAGCAAACCCTAGTGTTGGAATTTAGGCTGGTTCAGGATTGTTAGGATTTAATCATTGTCTTCCGTGTGACTTGATAAGGCATGGTTGAGATAGGATTTAAATGTATGACTGACTTTGCAGTAGCCTTCATGACAATTTTGTCTCCTCCCCTAGGCTTTGGGCAGGTGTATGTCGGTACAGCTGCCCTTCCCAGCAGCTTATTGCAATACTGTAGACTGCATTTTCATGAAGATTTAAAAATTTTGGCCGAGTTTCATGTTACACATGTAGAAGTTGCCCCACCAGGGTGGGGCAACGTAAACTCACACAAATCAATGAATTACCATTACCATAACGTAATGATAATAATCTTCCCCCACAGCGATGAACAATAAAGCAATGTTACAATGCAGCGAACCTGACTTCCAATCCTGTGGTAGCTTATTCCCACTGACCTATTGCATACAGTAAATCTGCAGGGCTTTCATGCAGTGGGACTAGCCATACCTGCAACGGTAGATCAGGGAGGAAGGGGAGGGGACAGCGTGGACCATCCCCCT